TCACCATATAAATCAGCATATACACCATATACACCATATACACCATATACACCATATACACCATATACACCATATACACCATATACACCATATACACCATATACACTATATACACCATATCAATCACCATATACACCATATCAATCACCATATCAATCACCATATCAATCACCATATCAATCACCATATCAATCACCATTATCAATCACCATATCAATCACCATATCAATCACCATATCAATCACCATATACACCATATACATCATATAAATCACCATATAAACCATATACACCATATAAATCACCATCAGATAGCCACTGAACTCACGGCAGGCGATATGAGGACTACCTCTCTGCCTTTGAAGTGATCGATCCTGACTACGCGGTGGCGCTGGGGCGGGCAGTCGAGGCCGGTGGAGAGGGGGAAGCGGAATGGAGAGGTGGTAATGATGGCAATGTTGGTGATCATCCCATTATATCACAACCAAATGTTAGCTTATCAAAATGATAGTGATGGAATTGAACCAAAGATGGACCAAGATGAAGATATAACCAAGATGAAGATATAAATTGAAAATTATTAACATTGAATCAGGAGAGAATAAAACACTGACTTCAACTGATGCCTGCAATGATGGAACGTCTGGGATGTTCAACGTTCTGGGGAGAATTGCCTGGAGTCAGGTTGCTGAATTGAATCGATCCAATTTTCCAAAATTTTTGATGTGCAAGGCGTCTAGGGTTTTCAACGGTCACCTTCAGATGGTTTTTGGAGATACTTTCTCCAAGCATTGGCGGGGTGATGTTCAGTGAAATTCAACGCCGTGCTGCAAAGTGTTTCTTCCAAAAGGGCCGGGCTTTGAGAAACCGGAAAAACCCGAGAAAGCTGCTCCACGATTGGTTCATTTCATGACCATTATCCAAAGTATATGGAGGTTTCCTAAGATGGTTTCCTAAGATGGGGGATCCCCAGTCGTCAGAGTCGTCACCATGGCTTTCAATGAGTTTCAAGTCCCAACAGTCATGGTAAGATTGCAGGGCGCTTCCGAGCGAATCGATGAGGAGGTTTTTTGTCTGCAGCCAGATCTTTCAACTGAAGCCATCATTGTAATCCAATGCATGTATGATACTGTGTACGGGCCAGCGAAATCTGAATCACCAGTTGAAAACGGTGGTAAATTCCATGTTTATCCCAGTATTTATTGGCTTTCAATCATCCGTTAGGTGGTGCAGGATTTCGCAACCACCTACTGGTAATTTAACATAGCTATTGAAAATGACCATAGAAATAGTAGATTTATCTGTGAAAAGTGGGGATTGTCCATAGCTATGTAAACGTTTACCAGAGGGGTACCGTATTTAAGGTTTATACCTTGATTTTTATGATTTGAAACGACGTTGATATCCAGATCCTCGGATGAAACGATGTTTTGGCCCTTGATTTTGCTGGGCTTTACCGTTGTTTTAGCATGCAAAGTGAACCAATATTGCCATCATATAGTTGGATGTTAGTCTGTAGATTTCCACCCTTAAATTGGGGGAACTCGCCGAAAACTCGTTGATGATCAACCCACCGATCCGTGGATTTGCTGATGTGTTTTGCATGTTTTTTTACGTTTCCTAGTGGGAAAATCCAGAGAATTTCTGGGGAGCCCTGCCGAGGGCTTTCTGCCACGGGCTGCCCTTTGTGCGGTGTTCGCCCGAGCGGCCTATGGTGCTCTCATGCAAAAGGCAGCTGGGTTTGTCATGGTTTATTCAAAAATCATGGATTTCTATAATTAATATACGTATATATACAATTATATACATATATATTATATATATTATATTATATTATCATATTATATTATTTTATATTATATTATATTGTATTATATTATTTTATTATATTATATTTTATTATATTATATTATATTATATATTAGTTTATACACAGATATGCCAAAAAGGCGATTTTGAATGGGACACACTATGATAAAGCCTTAGTTTCAAGCAACATGTTTCAACCACAGTTGGCATATTCTTCATGGGCTGGCTCAGCCATCCAGATACGGGGGAACTTCCGGGATGGCTCGCGGCATTGAGGCAATCCCTCGCCAAAAGCCACTGAATCCGACCAAGCTTCGGAGTGGTTCAACCAGGGCTCTTCTTCAAAGTTCTTCAAACCATGCTGAAAAAACAACATAGGGAAAATAGGGAAAACCATGGGAAAATGGTGATTTATATGGAAAGATCCAGCATTTTTGAATGGGTAAATCAACTACTGATTGGTGGTTTGGAACATGAATTTTATGACTTTCCATATATTGGGAAGGTGATCATCCCAACTGACGAACTCTATCATTTTTCAGAAGAAAAATCCCAACATGTTGGGAAAAAAAACATTCATTGGGTTGGTTTACAGTAAAATTTACAGGAAACCCCATATTTAATGGTAAAAACCATGGTTTCCTGTAGATTTTCCCTTAAACCAATCCAATTTTGCACATGTGTTCACCACTTTCGTTACATCTTCGATGGCCAAAAACTCCATGATGTCACGATTTCCGTTACCGGCAGCGGCAGCAGGGAGCAGGCGATCGTGTGAGTGGTTTCCTGGGTCAAGCGGCGAAGTCCTATGCCGGGAACTTCAAGGATGAAGACCACACGGAGGCGGAGATCGCATGAGATCTGGATGGTGGTTTCAAACATGGTTTGCGTACTTTTTTCCATTTTATATATGGGATGTCATCCCAAACCCATTGACGAACTCATTTTTTTAAGATGGTTATTGCACCACCAACCAGATATCTTTGGCAACGTTTAGACATACTGTGGATGGAAGATATCCTGCATCACCTAACGGATGGTTGAAACCCTATGAATAATGGGATAAACCACCTATCAACTGGTGCAGGATTTCTTCCATCCACCGTATTATCATGATACTTAGAAGTGAGTATTATCATGATACAGGGCCACAATTTGTTTGGGGCGCCATATTCAAAGGTGCTAGGGCTGAAATCACCACTATTAGTTATTGTTGAATCCAAAAAGTGGGAGGATTGGCATGGGAATGGGCTGTGAAGATCTATGTTTTTGAGGAGGTTGGAACCATTTCAGAATGATGAAGTTTTGTTCAGCAAAGCATTTCAACTGTGTTTTTAATTTTCCATCCGCAGTTCGACCATTCAAATCGTGGCCAAGGCCCAGATCTTGGGGGTCATAAAAAAGCCATGGACGACTTGCCGAGATGTCTGAAAAAGAGCACAGAATTCGTTCGAGAATTCGAGGACCTACATCTCATTACGTAACAAACAAGCCAGATTGCATGGAATCCCTAGATTCATCGATACATCAGGTGCCTCCCGAGGAGTTGCCGGATGGATCAAAATGGTCAAAAGCTATGAAATTACCAAATAACTGGGTGAAGAACCATCCATTAACGAGCTATGCCTTAGGGTACCATTCAGGTACCAGGGTTTGATAATATATATATATAATATATATATATATATACCTATATATCTATATATACCTATATATCTATATTATATATCCTATAATATGTATATATATATATATAATATATTTCCTATAATATGCATACAGTATATATATATATATATACATGCACGTTAATATATATATATATATACACATACACATTAATATATATATATATGATAATATTATATATATATATATTATATAATACATTTTATGTTGGCCAACATTATATATGTATATATTATAGATCACTTGCATTCACTTACTGTACGTGGCTCCCGCATATCCCATAAATCTCCAGGCTTTCGTTGAGCTCACCGGTGCCAAACGTGAAGATATTGTCATGGCACATTGGAGCCTTGTGATGGGTTATGGGTGCCAGCTGGGTATAGTAAGCCCCACCAAAATGGTGACAAGGTCACATCATTTCGATTCTGCACTAAAATTTAGTAGCGCTCTGATTTGTTTCCTCTTTTTGAGTTTTTTTTAAATACCGCAAAAAGAGGCATTAATGACCATGGAAATTGGGATAGTTCAACCAATGGGATGGCTGAAACAGCCATGAACTGACTGAAATAAAGCCGGTCCCTTGACTGTGACGCGAAGCACTTGGGCACTCAAAACCAAGGACGACTAAAGCCCTAAACATGACCACATTTATCCAAATTCAGTGGTTCCTATCTGGCCTGTTATAAGTCATACCAGTTATACCTAGTTCGAAGCCATTCATCCACGAACCAAATTCAGTGGTTATGAACCTCTTACGACCGTGAGATGATCTCCCAAGTCTTCTGTGTCTTGGGATGTTTTGGGTAGTTGTGGGTAGCTGCTCAGAAATCATTCATGTTGATACAGTGTATTGGTATGTATTGGTATGTCTTGGTTGAATGGCTAGGCTGTGTTCACAGAAGTTGCTCGGTCCAACTCTTTCTCCTCGAGACTGGAAAAATGCCATTGATTCGTTTGGAGTTTAGACTAGCCTCTGGTAATGAATGACTAACATAGCTATGGAAAGTCACCATTTTCAACGGGTAAATCCACTATAGCCATTTTCAATAGCAAACTGTTAGTTTACCAGAGGGTACCATTTGTATTGCGGATGATCGTCCGAATTCCCTTCAATTCACCCTGAGGGTCTCCTCTCAGGACTGAGAAGCCGTTTGAACCTGCCTATGTGGTCTTTTGGGTCCACCGAATGCGTTGGCTACTGGGCAGAGCTGGGAGAACAGTGGGTCGCCATTGATGTTTGTGGATTCTAAAGAAACCGCTTGAATTAGATAGTGTGTCCCTATGTCCTTTTAGTTAGTTTTTGTTAACGCGTGTTTGCATGGTTTTATGTGTTTTTACCCTTTCTTGCTGGCCACTTCTTGTCGGAAAACAGCTCAAAGCAGCACTTCTAGGGGCAAGCGCAGTTGCCAAATGGCAAGTGACTTTCTTTTTCGACCGTGGGGCTGCACTTTTCTCATAAGCCTCAGTGGGGTAACCATGAACAGTACCCTCTGGTAAACGTTAACGTAACTGTGGAAAGATCCACCATTTTCAATAGGTAAACCCACTATTTCTATGACCATTGGCCATGTTCAATAGTTTTTTGTATGTTTACCGGAGGGTATATCATATCTTCCCATATATCCTGGTACTTCAAACGTGGCTTCCTGGAAAATCACCCTAATAAAAATCGTTGAGAAATCACCAGGTATTTTTCTAGCTATTAGCCATGGCTTCCCTACTGCTGATTGATGATGATTTGGGGATTATACTATGCTAGATATGTAGGGGATAAAGAAAAAATCGATGAGGGAAAAGCCTATCAACTTACCTCATCTAATTTTGGTGGAATTCTTAGGGACCCCCTTGCCATGGTACTCCTCTTGCCATAAGCCTCTCAGTCCCAGAAGAAACCCCTCTTCTGTATGGGAAGCGTATGGGCATAGCAGTACCATCATTGATATCGTTGGGGGTCCCAAGAAAAATGTGGTGCCCCCCAGTTTTGTTTGTTGACGTATAAATCCCATCAAGTAATCTTAAGATAGTATAGATATATCTACTATAAATATCATATCTATAAACCATAGTTAACCTAGTTATGTTCACCAACTTAGCTATGGGGGCACTCATCCACCACATCCCACTCAAAAAAAGACAAAAAACACATGAAAAGTCTAGTCACATGAAAATCCCCATGAAAAATCCCACAGTCATGGCCATTAACAGTTGTAAATGGAAATATCACCCCCAGAACTAAGGTATACTAAGGTTATATATCATATTTCTATCATTATAAACCTATATAAACCCATGAAAAAAATGCCAAATTGGGCCATGATTTCATCCCACGTTGTCATCATTTCACCTATGGCGGAGGCTGGTCCTCTCGGTGCGCGGCAGCTGCGAGTGGTCCTCGGTGCTCACGGACGTGGCGGCCGAGGAGAGCTTGCTGGCGGGCGGCCTGGCGCACAGCGGCATGGCACGGGCTGCCAGGTGGACCCCGTGGGCCCCCCGTGCGCCCTTCTTGGGGTAGAAGATGGTGATGGGAAGATGTTTTTTATATATGATGTATATGAATGTAGAAAAATGATGCATGTAAGATTGTAGATGATTGTATACGATGTATATGCATATGATTGTATGTACTAGGATATATTGGTTTACAAAGATGTATATGATGTATATTTATGTGTGTATACGTATGTAAACATGATATGATATGCTATTCTATGATGTGATATACATGTCCAATGTATAGACCCTGAAATTGCAGAGAAAATATGAATATGCAGAGGATGGTTCCGGACTGTTTGCCATTTAGATTGGTATTGTGATAACATATTACATTTGAATGTGCGTCCAAGGTGTATGTGGTTGACACCATAGTCACTGTTCCTTAAGTATGGGTCAACATTTTCACACCTGGCCTCAGGTTTGAGTCAATTTTCAGTATTCACCATCTAATTGTTGGGATACCCCGATACCTATTTCAGCCATTTATAACTGACTCACTAAGATCCGCGACCGAAGCCTGGAATGATGATTTACATCTGCGAAGTATTTCCTTATGCCTTATTTCAGTTCGGTAAATTGTGATCAATTGCCACAGTTATGGCCATTTACCAGTTATAACTGGTTTTAAATGGGATTATACATTCTATAAATGGGGTTATAAGTACTTATAACTAATAAATGGCCATAACTGTATGATACAACTGAAGGGATGGAATTGATGGATGGTTTAAAACCCATTCTGCTGGGGATTCCTACAAGCGACAAGCAAAAAAAAACCTTCCAAAATCCGCCTTAAGCCTCCAAAATGTGGTACCAACCAATTATAAACGGATACAGTAGGTCCGGTAATTATTTTCGATTGCTGCTTATTCCAACTATATCACTGAATTATTAAGCATTACGAAGATGGATTGTTGTTCATCTTTGGATAGACACTGCATATGCATTTATTTGGCTCCCGTGGCCCTTCACTTAAGAGTCCGCATTGGATACAATGTGAGGCCCCCCAGTGATGTTTGTTGGTTTAGATTCGCCCCAGTATAACTAGTTCGTTATAAGTACCATAAACCATACAGTTATGGCCATTTATTAGTTATAAGTACTTATAACCCCATCTATAGAATGTATGATCCCATTTATAACCAGTTATAACTGGTAAATGGCCATATCTGTAGTTATTGGAGTTATGTGAACCCCAACTGAACGCTATCGTGGCCGGGGGCCTCACATTGGACTCTGCCGTGAGTTCGGTCCTGTGGCAGGTGGATTTTGACCACGGCCGGGCAGTGCATGGCTGAAGCTCTTGCTGAGCGAGATGAGTGTCCAAGTTGCGTTAAACGCGAAAGCGAGGGTGGCTTTCAACTGGGCAAGTGACCGGTGGATAAAGGATCAAAACCGAACACTGTAATGATATATACATGTACAATATATATATAATATAATATAAATATAATATAATATAATATAACATAATATAATATAATATATTATATTTAATATAATTATAATATAATATAATATAATATAAATATGATAAAATTTAATTTAATTTAATATAATATAATATAAAAAAAAATATGTATGTATATATATATATATACACATGATGTAAGATATATATATATATAATATAGTTCTATATATATATATTGGACATAGCCTTCCCCACAGACCACCAAAACTATCCACCTCAGTAAGGATTTCCGCCACCCTGCCCTCTGTGGAAGTCGCTGGAGGTATCGCCTGGTTTGTACTGGCCATTCTCTGGGTGCCGATGTGGCTGAACTTGCACCTCTGCAATGAGATGAATGTGACTGGTTGGTGGTTTCAAGCATGGCTTTTATTTTCCATAATATATGGAGTAATCCTTCCCATTGACTAATATTTTTTAGAGGGGCTGAAACCACTAACCAGGTGAAGTGCCACCTTCCCAGCATGAGACCAGGGCAAGATACATGGAGACACTGGTAATTGAACAGTTTGCTAAAGAAAATCAACATGTTTCTTCGGGTCTGAATATAAAGGGATCCTTTTCCATAGCAAACTGCTAAATTACGGGAGGATATCCTGGGACATATTCTCCAAAAGTGATTGTGTTTTTCTGGGCATGCGCACATGTAAGGCAGACCTGCTGCTGACCTAGGAAACACCATTTGTCAAGAATTTGTTTTGGCGAAAAGTCCAAATAGTTTTGTAACTAGGCAGTTCCAAAATAAGTTCATTTCAGACTTCATGATTTCTACCGATTTGCAAGGACTTATACATACATGCTGGCAGCGCGATCCCACAAAGCATTCTGTTGGCACCATAGATGGCTTGGGACCACTGGGCTATGTACATTATGTAGTGGTTCACCCACCTCATGTGGGAAGAATTACAGGAAGTCCCGGACTTACCATTCTTGAGTTGGTTTTCCCCACCTTTCATCATGTATCCATGTGTATTTATGTATATAGATGCAAGTAATCCATGGTTTTGTTGCGTGTTACTTTGCCTTTGTTGCGTTGTACTAGATTTTTGTGCTGATTAAGTTAAATCCCGGTTCTCTCCCATTGTTTGCATATCACACACCCAGTCTTATTGGCATGTTGTTTGTTTGGTACTCGTATGGGTTAAACTTGGACATTGCGGACATTGGATGGTTAAGAAACTTGGTCAACTAGACTTGAGGAGGATGAGATACTTGGAATACTTAGATACCCTAACAAAATTGTCTCAATCTCAAGAACTTCCTATCATCGTCGCTACGATGTAGATATATGAAATACCAAATAGATATTTGATTCTACAGAGTGATCATATAGCAACGTCCATACGATATTATTTGTAAAGATAATATAATATCGTCAGTTATGAATTGTTATATAATTATATATATATTATACTGAGCTATATATATGTGTTATATACTATTGATTTACAGATTTACAGTATATACATTGTGTTATTTATCTCATATAGTTATGTTATGTTGTATATATATATATTATATATATATATTATATGATATATATATATATACACATACATGTATGGTATACCCCCCTCCTCACTGCAAGGTCGCAGTGATGCTCAGGGAAGGCGACACAAGCCCCACGGACATCCCCAAGTGCTTGGGTGGGCGCCAGGATCTCGAGGCTGGAAGATCCAGGGGATCAAAAATGATACCCTCTGGTAATTTACCTATGGAAAATAGCTATATGATCATCAGGGTTAATCATAATTTACCAGTTTTTTTGATAATAGCTATAAGATAATACTAGTTAACTGATAATCATTACCAACCGAATTGATTTACTTATGAAATAGCTATAGTTACTATAGTTAAACGAGCCATAAAAACCGAATCGACTTTCGAAGAAAAGTTACTCACATACCACGCGGATGGAAGGTTGCGAAATCCGATTCACCACCAATTTTGGATGGTTGAAACATGTTGAAACCCTATAAATAATGGGATGTGTACCATCTATCAACTGGTGATTCGGATTTCGCTGGCCCATCCACAGTAGCTATAGAAAATGGCCCAGTCGAAATAGTTGATTTACCTATGAAACGATAGTGATGTTCCAGTTCACAAACTGTTAGTTTACCAGAGGGTAAATGATGCTTGATTGTTGCCTGATTGATGCTTCAGAAGGTTGGTGATTGGGAGTTATACTATAGCAAGGTGTTTGGTGATTTCTGATTAACCCATTCGTTTGTGTTTGTGGGGGGCCCAAACCCATTCTAACCCATCATAGTCAGGGTTGCTCCAACCGATTGCAGGTATATGATAACTGCTATTGGGGATACCGTGGTAAATTTACCTCTAGTTGGGATATGGGGTCCATAGAACCCGCATAGTTGATGTCCTTGATAGCTATAATTGTGACCACTTATGCTTCAATTGAAGCAGGAAAACCTAAACCATCCCTCATTCGAACCCAGGTTTATCATTTGGGTAAAACTTACCGAAGATCGGGCTTTTTTATGGGGCTTACCGCATTGTGGCAAAAACAGTGACTATTTGTCAACCAACGTCTTTTGGGTTCTTTAAAGGGCAAATTGTACACAAAGCCTGTAAATCACAGTGGCCAGTGACAACACTAATATATATATACATATGTATAGCTATTAGCTGATCTCTGGCGTATTGGAACTTATGATAGCCCCTAACTTTGGTGGGGAGTACTGTAAATCGCATTCACTAGTCTATGGTCCAAAGGTATATATCGTGGCAAAGATGATAAAAACTGGTGTTATCCACTATCCATCGGTAAAAAAGCAAGAATACTTGATACCTCAAAGAACCTCACCAGATATATTTATGATGTTTACTGTCTTGGGAAAAGATGTCAGTTTTATGCTTGAGAGATCCGCAACGACTCGGGATGGCTGGAATCCTAGTTTTTATCCTCTGGCAATCAAGCCCAGCATGGCCCATGGCTGGAAAATCCACCATATGGGGATGATCTTTGATGCCCATAAATTTTATGTTTTTCCCCACCTGCCAGGTGAGGGTTGTTAGATTTTATCTAAGTTGCCTGGTCCTCCTCCTCCTCCTCCTCCTCCTCTCCTCCTCCTCTCGTTGTCCTCCTCCTCTCGTTGTCCTCCTCGTCCTCCTGCTCAACTGCGACTCGCGATCCACAGTGTTCTCTGTCGGACCTCAACCACGACCATCCACGCCCAGTGTTCCCTGCCGGACCTCAACCACGACCATCCACGCCCAGTGTTCCCTGCCGGACCTCAACCACGACCATCCACGCCCAGTGTTCCCTGCCGGACCTCATGCCGGACCTCAACCACGACCATCCACGCCCAGTGTTCCCTGCCGGACCTCAACCACGACCATCCACGCCCAGTGTTCCCTGCCGGACCTCAACCACGACCAGCCACGCCCAGTGTTCCCTGCCGGACCTCAACCACGACCATCCACGCCCAGTGTTCCCTGCCGGACCTCAACCGCGAGTATCCACGCCAAAAGATATGCCACATAGAGTGCCAGAAGATATGCCAGATAGAATGTTAGAAGATATGCCAGATAGAATGCCAGAAGGTATGCCAGATAGAATGCAGGATAGAATGTCAGCTAGAATGCCAGAAGATATGCCAGATAAAGTGCCAGAATGTTTGCCAGATAGAATGCCAGCAGATTTGCCAGATAATATGCCAGAAGATATGCTAGATAGAATGCCAGATGGAATGCCAGAAGATTTGCCAGATAATATGCCATAAGATATGCCAGATAGAATGCCAGATGGAATGCCAGAAGATATGCCAGAAGATATGCCAGAACATCTGCCAGAAGATATGCCAGAACATCTGCCAGAAGATATGGCAGGTAGAATGCCAGAAGATATGCCAGATAGAATGCCAGATCGCATGCCAGAAAATATGTCAGATAGAATGCCAGAAGATTTGCCAGTAACAAAATGTATAAATGTCATGGTGGGGATCACACGAAGTAAAGTAATTTTGATGAAAGGGTATCAATCTGGCTAGTTATCAATGTGAGGCCCCCGGCCACGATAGCGTTCAGTTGGGGTTCACATAACTCCAATGTCACTATGGTTTATGGTACGCAAATAACGAACTTGTTACTGGGGCGAATCTAAACCAACAAACATCACTGGGGGGCCTCACATTGTACTTGTGCTTAGGGAATTTTCGGGCATGATCCACTGGCTAACAGTTAGTGCTTAGTTAGCCGCTAACTATCAAACTCATAATCCCAGCAACCCCCAGCAACCCATTCATTCCCTACGTAAAACGCACCAGCAGGTATATAATTCATATTCCATAGGTATTCCATCAAACGGGAGCTTTAATGGAGGATCCCCAAGTATCCATGGGTTAAAAAAAATACTTTACTTCGTGTGATCCCCACCATGACATTTATACATTTTGTTACTGGCAAATCTTCTGGCATTCTATCTGACATATTTTCTGGCATTCGATCTGGCATTCTATCTGGCATATCTTCTGGCATTCTACCTGGCATATCTTCTGGCAGATGTTCTGGCATATCTTCTGGCAGATGTTCTGGCATATCTTCTGGCATATCTTCTGGCATATGTTCTGGCATGTCTTCTGGCATATCTTCTGGCATATGTTCTGGCATATCTTCTGGCATTCCATCTGGCATTCTATCTGGCATATCTTCTGGCATATTACCTGGCATATCTTCTGGCATATTATCTGGCAAATCTGCTGGCATTCTATCTGGCAAACATTCTGGCACTTTATCTGGCATATCTTCTGGCATTCTAGCTGACATTCTATCTGGCATTCTATCTGGCATACCTTCTGGCATTCTATCTGGCATACCTTCTGGCATTCTATCTGGCATATCTTCTGGCACTCTATGTGGCATATCTTTTGGCGTGGATACTCGCGGTTGAGGTCCGGTAGGGAACACTGGGCGTGGATGGTCGTGGTTGAGGTCCGGCAGGGAACACTGGGCGGGGATACTCGCGGTTGAGGTCCGGCAGGTAACACTGGGCGTGGATGGTCGTGGTTGAGGTCCGGCAGGGAACACTGGGCGGGGATGGTCGTGGTTGAGGTCCGGCAGGGAACACTGGGCGTGGATGGTCGTGGTGGAGGTCCGGCAGGGAACACTGGGCGTGGATGGTCGTGGTTGAGGTCCGACAGCGAACACTGTGGATCGCGAGTCGCAGTTGAGCAGGAGGACGAGGAGGACAACGAGAGGAGGAGGAGAGGAGGAGGAGGCGGCAGGAGGAGGAGGAGGAGGACCAGGCAACTTAGATAAAATCTAACAACCCTCACCTGGCAGGTGGGGAAATATGTTTTCACTACTTAAATATATCTTCAAATAACCAAACATTTTTTTTTGGATGATTAATAATATATAATATACATATATTTTATTATTATATATACATTATATATTATATTATATATATATATTATCATATATTATATATCATAATTATATATTGTATATGTTATATTGTTAATATATATATATATGGTATTTTAATACCCCCCCATTGAGGAAACGCCCTCTCCCAGGCATTGGACTCGTTTCTGAACGTGGAACCGCCAACCAAGGGCTACGGAGCCAAGGTGACCCTATGGGGCGCCAACGGGCGGGCCAGGGCCAGGGCGGGGCCCACATGGCATTTTTCTTTGCAAAGGGGAAGATGTGAAGTGAATGCTTTGTGAAGGGAAAAACATGTTTTTTGATTCAGGATCATTTGAAAAAATATGTTGATACGAGGCCAAAAAGAACTGTTTAAGGCAGGGCATCTGGAGTTTGCCATGGACGGTGGAAAGTTCCACACTAAATCAAGCCAAATGGTACAATGTGAGGCCCCCAAGATAGCTAAGTTGGTTTATAACTCCAATAACTATGGTTTATGGTACTTATAACTATAGTTACTGGGGCTTATAAACCAACTTATAACTGGGGGCCTCACATTGTAGAAATCTGCTTCTTGAAGCAGTAAAAGTGACCTTTGGATATTTATGATTCATAAGAAGGGTCAGAAAGCATTGCGTTTGTTTGGAACAGGTTTTAGACCCAAATCTCTACGACAGTCTACCTGAAACATCTGAACTTGTCAAGAAAATGCAGCCGCAAAACACTGATTTTCCCATAGATTTTCCCATAGAATTTCATGATTTTCCAATAGAATTTGATGATTTATTTTGTCCCAATAGAATTCGATGATTTTCCATGATTTTCCCAAGGATTGTGACAATGTTCCCGTAGATGATTGCGGTCAACTCATGCCGAACTCCCCACAGAAACTGTTTTTTTGTTGGCCTCGTCCAGGATGCAGAGCCGCACGTGGCTCCAGCATATCCTTCAGCCATGCGACGGGCCTTTGCTTATGGCTTTGGCGCCTCCCCGCGCCCTGGTAGCGTAGCGCTTTTGTACCTTGGGTACTGGGATGGAGGATCATCCAGGCCAACCAAACATGATGATTGATGTTGAGAACCTCAAACATAAACAAACGACATATTACCGATTCTCCACTTCAAGCTGATCATGGTCTGCTTTAAAAAGGCCGGTGCTGTTTTTGGCTTCCGCAGTTTGAAGACATACCCAAACAATGTTCGATTCAAGTATCATTCCATGCGTTGTCTTGTACCTTAACTTCATATGCGTCAAGAATTAAGACCCACGAACCCGCCACAAACCCAAAGACTGTGTCCATGATTTACGATCACCATCCCTCTAACTGGGCTATCCTGACCTGTCTTCCTCGGGGTGAATATCCATACCGGGTAGGTCAATACTGGCTACTCGGAGTATCAAACTCTGTTTTAAGTGCTGATCATAAAGTTATATTAAAAGGTTTGTATATATATATAATATATACATACTGTATATTAATTAATTAATTAATTAATCCCCCCTTCATTTGATCGCTAAATATAGCGACATGCCATGGCTAGATGAATTTACAGTATCCACATTCCAAAAGCATTTTGGGGAAGCTGTGTTTCCTGTCAGGATCGTCTCCCCTCAGCTGGCTGCAAGATGCTCCAGTTATGCTTCTTGGCTTCGGTGCGAGAAATTCTGGGGGTTGGCATACATTTTGAATGACACCAAAATTCCAAATCATTTTGAATAGCACCAATATGCTTCACAACCTTCTTGGCATTCACATTCCAAATTCATTTTGGGGTTGTGAAGTATAGTGGTTGCAGCCTTTCTTAGAACATCTTAGAACTGACATGGAAAAATTGGATGTGGAAGATGAGTCTTCCAGACAGGGACTGGTTGTTGGAGGTTGCCATGGAAGTTTGAGTCTGTTGAAAAATGGCATGGCCAAATGGCAATGGCAATGTTTGGGGAAAAGGACAGAGAAGATAGATAGATGGCTAGAAAGTCCGTTTTGGGGGATGGCTTGGGGCTGGAAAATCCATTGAAACTTCCGCACATGGTGGGGCTATTTGCCCGAAAGAGATGACCACACCAAAGAGGAGTCGGTCAAAAATTCGAGTCAATGGTTAGGCGGATCACTTCAAATCCCTGAAAAATGTTCATGACATCAATGCTGCGGCCCTTGCCCTTCAGTCCCTTCAGTTGCTTTGCTGCCAGGTTCTGTCTGTGGCTTTTGATGTGGACTACATCACGCGGGTCTCGGTCTTCGGCATTGACCGCTTGATTCTGCAGCTCACGGAGCGACCTGGTGAGACCTGGTGAGACCTGGTGAGACCTGGTGAGACGAGGGGAAGAGACGAGAAGTTGGCCAAGTCATTCCTCCATGCTTTGCAAATAGCCCATTCATTAAAGCGATACATATATATATATATTTACATCTACATATAAATATATTTATATATACTATATATACATATATATATATATACATACATATATATATATATAATTTATATATATATATATACGTAACATATATATATACATTATATATATATATATATTGAAAGTTGCTTTGCTCCCAATCTCAGGCTTCTCTTCCCAACCACTGATTCAGCATTTTTTCAACGAAGAAGCTCGTCCATCGTCAGGAGCGCAGTGCAGCCCAGTTGGCCAAGCAATGGATTTCCCAGAAGATGGGCCGTGGTGGAGGCGACTCTGCTCAGACGATGAAACCATTGGGATTTTCTTGGATGTTTTTGTGACTTGCAGATCTTGCAAATTTTGGAGCATGAACAAAATGGTGATTTAAACTAGACGACGGATGGCCCGAGAGCGTAGAGGAGCAGGGTCTTCTCTGGTTAGTATGGAGACACCATATTACAAAACAATATATTAAAGATGTGTTATAGGCAGTCGAGAAGAGGAGTATCAAGGCAAAGCTTTTACACACAGACGCTTATACGCACAAAACCTTTTACATACAGAAGCTTTTACACACAGAAGCTTTTACACATAGACACTTTGACACACAGACGCTTTTACACACAAAGCACTTTTACACACAGACACTTTTACACACAAACGCCTTTACACACAGACGCTTTTACACTTAGACACTTTTACACACGAACGCTTTTACACGCAGGCGCTTTTACATGCAGAAGCTTTTACACAGAGACGCTTTTACACACGAACGGTTTTACACACAGGAGCTTTTACACGCAGAAGCTTTTACACACAGACGCTTTTACACACAGAAGCTTTTACACACAGATACTTTACACACAGACGGTTTTTGCACACAGACGCTTTTACACACAGAGGCTGTTACACACAAACGCCTTGACACACAGACACTTTTACACACAGAAGATTTTACACACAGAAGCTCTTACACACAGATGCTTTTACACAGAAGCTTTTACACACAGACACTTTTACACACAGGCGCTTTTACACACAGACACTTTTACACACAGACACTTTTACACACAAACGCCTTTACACACAGACGCTTTTACACTTTACACACAGCACACAGAAGCTTTTACGCAGACACGTTTACACACAGAAGAAATCGCAATTTTACCGCAGTTTTTGGCAATTTTACCTCAGTTTTTCGCGATCGAACCTCATTTCGTGCGAAAGGGTTGCGCGGGAGAAGTTGAAGTCGCAATTTTACCTCAGTTTTTGGGATCGAACCTCATTTCGTGCGAAAGGGTTGCGACGGACACTTTGAAATCGCAATTCTACCTCAGTTTTTGGCGATCGAACCTCATTTCGTGCCAAAGGGTTGCGCCGGACACTTTGAAATCGCAATTCTACCTCAGTTTTTGGCGATCGAACCTCGTTTCGTGGGAAAGGGTTGCGCGGGACAAGTTGCAATCGCAATTTTACCTCAGTTTTTGGCGATCGAACCTCATTTCGTGCGAAAGGGTTGCGCCGGACAAGTTGAAATTGCAATTTTACCTCAGTTTTTGGCAAATGAACCTCATTTCGTGCGAAAGGGTTGCGTTTTGTGCCGTCTCGTTGGCACTGCCCCTGCCCCCGCCTTCAGAAGAGAAATAGAAAAGAAGGAGAGGGCAAGAGGGCAAGAGGACAAGAGGAGAAGATGTGAAGATGTGAGGGCAAGAGGGCAAGAGGGCAAGAAGGCAAGAGGAGAAGATGTGAAGATGTGAGGATGTGAAGATGTGAAGATGTGAGGATGAGAAGATGTGAAGATGAGAAGATGTGAGGATGAGAAGATGTGAAGGTGAGAAGTTGTGAAGATGAGCAGATGTGAAGATGAGAAGATGTGAAGATGAGAAGATGAGAAGATGTGAAGATGAGAAGATGAGAAGATGTGAAGATGAGAAGATGTGAAGATGTGAGGATGTGAATATGTGAAGGTGATGAGAAAATGTGAAGATGAGAAGATGTGAAAATGAGAAGATGTGAAGATGAGAAGATGAGATACAGACCCCCACTATTGGAAGAACCCTGCGCGCAGACGCTCTCGGGAAAAAAACAATTAGTCATTACCGGAGGGTGTTTTGCATTTTGGAGCATCTATGAATCCCACCAGCAAGTGTCCTCTTCCCGCAGCCCTGCATTCCTTTTTGTGGAATCCACAATGGCATAAACCATCCCCTATGATGTTTGAGGAAACTGTGTCAAGACCCCTCCTTGGACTGCTGTGGTTTCCCTGTGGTTTCTCTTGGGCATGGTTTATGCAATTGTCGATCTCACTTTATATATATATAATTATATAATTATATAATTATATAATTATATAATTATATATACATATAACTATATATACTGTATATATACTGTATATATACTGTATATATACTGTATATATACTGTATATATAATTTTACATATATATATATTATATATATATACATCACAATTGTTCCAGCTACTATCCCAATCATCATCCTAATGCCTGGATTCGCTGAAGATTTGATATGTTTCCCAACGGGAAACCTACTATGACTGGGGAATCGATTAAGGGAATATTAGGTGTATTTTTCGGGGGCTCCGGATCAGCAAAAATTAAGAAGAGTAAACCATCCTTAAAGCTTACTGTTATAAACCGCTGAAGTTTTTCATCATGAGTCAATCACCTGGGTAAATTATAGCGACCTCACTGTTCTCCCTCACTGGAAATCATGGTTTTTATATGGGAAATCATCCCCAAATGGCCGCAAGATTCAGGTTAGTGAAATATTATTTCATTTACCCAGAATCATTGTCATAGTCAGATACCCCTCTGCATGGTTGATCATATGTGATAATCCGTTTTAAATAAGTACGGGCCCCAATTAATGGGCGCCAAGAGTGAAGAGATCCAGTCAGCACGAAAAAAAAGCCGGTGTGAAAACAGGGGATGATTGAAAATCGGGCACAAGCTATTGATGCTTTTCAAGAGGAATAATCCGAAATGGCATCAACTTTCAAGTGTGTAATTTATTGTATTTTGACAAGAAACCATTGGTTGACAAGAATGCAGTGCCAATACTTTGTCAATACCCAAAAAAAAACAGAACGGCCCCTCATGGGGGAGTGATTTTTGCTCTAAAAATGGTCAAAAATACTGGTATTTACAGTGTTTTGTGACCAAAGTGGGCTTAAAACCGTTATTTTAGAATTTTAGAGCAAAAAATAGAGTTCACCTCCAAAGGCTCTCATATGCTGTCATAAATCACTGGCATTTACAGACTCTTGTGGCAGGATTCAATTTTTCCTGTGAGGCTTGCAAAGAACTACAAACAATCAGCACATAACAGAAAACATCTGCTGCACAACATGCCATAAGAATGGGTAGCTGCACATCTCGGAACAGAATATACAGTAGCAATAGGTGACTAGTGTGACGGAGGTGATGGAGAAATTCGATTGCTAAAAGCAATTGATATGATATAGGTGTTTCTTCATGAACTTGTTAGATTGATATCATCTTAACATATATTGTATATAGAAGCATTTGCGCTACATAAGAAGTATGGTGGGAAGGGCATACATTCTATAGGTGGATATAACACAAGCACATCTAACACTCTGGATAAGAAGGATGGTGGGAATGTTACAACTCAAGAAGTAGGTACATATCTCGTTTATCATTGTTATCTTGCAGAGTCTTGTCAGCAGTCTCATTGCAATAGTTAGAAAGAGAGAGAGAAAGAGAAAGCCTAAGAGACAAAGACGTGGTCAAGCTGTTGAATATTAAGGTCAGGCAACCTGTGTGGTGGCATAGCTATTCAAAGATAACGGTATGTTTGCTTCTTTGAAACATAAGTTTAAAATATGGCCAAGATCCAAACATACACAATCTAGAATCACCAAAACCTGCACAGGCATCAAAAAAACAAACAAACCAATAGATGTACCAAATCTGCACAGGCACCAAAAACACCCAAAAAAACAAACCACTAGATGCACCAAACCTGCACAGGCACCAACAAAAAAAAAACTAAAATTTCCAGGAACTATGGGTCCACTTCTGAGTAGTTGCTGGGAATTTTTTTTTTTTTGTTTTTTTGGTGCCTGTCGATGTTTTATCATCATTTTTAATGAAAATTCACTCCCCCACGGGGTGCCGCCCTCAAAAAAAAACGGGCAAATTGCCATGTTTTGCCATGCCTTTCCATGGCAAATCTCTGAGTTCGTTCCGGCGTCTTAGGCGAGCGTTTGAGTCCTCGCACGCGCGCCTTTGGTGCCAACTCCCAGGTCGCCGAGGCCGTGGCCTGTTTTCGAGATTTTTTTGGATGATTTTATTGGGGATAACCATGGGATTATGATGAATGGTAGATATAACTATAGTTAATAGGGGTTATAATGGTTTATAAACCAATTGATTTATAATTTACCATGAATCATTTGAAATATCCAAAAACGATCATAATCATCAAATAATATATCATTACTTACTTAAGTTTCTCGTATATGACTTGGTAAATTCGTGTCATTCAAAATAAAGGACATAGCTCGTTGCAGATAACACTTCTTGGACCGCAGGTCTTGTGCACCCCGGGTCGCTTGCTCCACATGGATTGTCGTGGAGTGGGCTTGACCGCATCACCTGTGAAACTCTTGTGGCGTCTCGGTTGAGGCTTGTTGGGGTAGTTTTTTCTAGGCAACAAACGCAGATTCTTTGTTCCTTTTTGGTACAGGTAAACTAGTTATATATTGTTGGTGGTTTGGAACATGAATGTTATTTTTCCATATATTTGGAATGTCATCATCCCAACTGACGAATTCATATTTTTCAGAGGGGTTCAAACCACCAACCACAGGTTATATTGTTTTTCTAAAGAAACATGGGCTACTCAGGGCTAGTGAAGTTTGATCCCATAGGATTCTGTGGCACTTTCAAAGACATACCTGGAGTTGGTGGATGAGTGGTTGATTCTTTTTGCCGTGAACACTTCGCAGCTAAGCCGACAACAAAAATCCTGTGTTTTGTCTGAATTTCTGAGTGATCTAGGAATGTGTTTTTTTTCCATTGGCCAGGTACTAGGGAGCCTGGCATTTGTACAGGGACAAGTCCATGGTACCATGGCATGCTACCAATTCAAATGGGCTGTGTACAAATATGGGGTCTGGGGAAAATCACATGTTAATCGGTTGTTGGTCAGTTTCCCCCATGTTTTCCCAACATTGTTGCACACGTCTTAGACCTGCTTTGCTTCAGGTCTCTCCCGAGCTTCTACCATGAGACTTGGACAAGTCTCGGAGGGCGGGGTGACAAGTCTTGGGGCGACCGTGTGTAGGATGGGAAGAAATCACTCCACTAATCCATATACTGGTTGGTGGTTTGGAACATTTGTTATGTTTCCATATATCGGGAATAGTCACCCCAACTGACTTTCATATTTTTCAGAGGGGTAGGTCAACCACCAACCAGTATAGGAATTCATGTACACATGTTGTAAGGATTCCCATGATGTCATTGGATGACCATATAAGCTACCTACCAGGTTTCGCTCATGGTTCACGGATTGAAAGAGGGGTGACCCATGATGCTGTTACCGGTGGCAATTCAACATATCAATGAAACATATTCCATTTTAGATGATCTACAGAGTCACTACAGAGTGCACATATATAATATATATATACACTGATTTTTTCATGTTCATTACTTAGTCCCAACCCATCAATGGGTCCGAATCTGCTCCGATTCAAGTTGTGTCGTTTTTAAAGGTCACATGACCAGGTCTCTTTTGTAAGCTCGTGGTGCTCGTCGTCTGAGGAACTGTACATCAGCACGCACATGTTTCACGACCATTTGCCGCTTCTCGCCGACTCCGATGGGATCTGGAAGATGACATAAGATGACTCGTAGAGGATCTTGCATGATCTTGGGGTCCCACAAATGGGGGTGGTTCATTTCACTTAGTAAGTGGGTTATAACCCCAGTTGTAGGTGGACTAACCCTACTTATCCCATTTCCAACTAGGGTTACAACCCACTTACGATCCGTGGGATGAGCCACCAAGAATGGGGGTGACTCTTGAACTTCTGCTCAGATGATTCGGAGCCAGCTGAATAGCTATTGAACACAGAAAGTTGAAAAAAGAACCCACAGTTCTTCGCTTGCATGATTTGCGAAAGTGAACATCTTAAGACTTTCCATGCGGTTTTGTGTGTCACTGAGGATTCGCTATGTGGAGCATTTGTTGGAAGCGATTCGTTTCCTGGCCGATTATGCGGATCCCGCTGCCTCTAACATCCACTAAGCGGTTGATTCATGGAGCTGTTTAGAATAAAAGGATCGCAAAACACCAACAACTATGGAACTGGTTGCAAACGGTTCTTGGACCCAGGGTGCTTCGTTGGCTGCGTTGAACATGTATTTAAAAGCATTATAAAACCAACACATTTAGAAATTACAGTAAGATTATTTTCGCAATTAGGCAACCACGTTATTTGACGCAATTAAAACGTACTCTGCTGGTTGAAAGACATATAGTATAATATAATATATATATATAATTGGTTGATTCAGATTCCAGGATTTGACGCGAGAGGTTGACATATCTAAGTGCAATCATCAATCATCCTTGAGTAGATACAATAGACCTCAATATCAATACTTAGAGACAAAATCTGCTGGCCGGCGTTACTCTGCTTTTATGCTACACATACTCCAGCATGGTCATGGAAAAGTGTAATGAACATTTTAGGTTTGTCCTAGAGTTGGGAGATTTACTGCAATTTATGGTAAGTGTTTCGTTGAAAGTCAAAACATAGATTGGACATGATAAACCATTGGATTTATGAAATACCTTTCTTGAGACAGATAATATATCCATATAATATATTCTTATGTAAGATAGATTTTGGATAAACCTTATTATATATGTATATATGATATACGTATATGCTAGTGTCAAACGATGGATGATACAGCAACATGAGCAGTGTTCAAAACCCCTGTTGATTGAGAACTATAAGGAATCGTACTTACCAATCTATTTCGGGGATCATCACAATCCATTACAAAACTCCCTATCAACCAATCAGTACATGACGCAATACAGGTTTTGAACACAACTCAATTTCAGAGGATGGTCTTCAATCCCTGTTCATAGGGACTTATACCCATGACGTTGGGATGTCCCGTGAAGCGGGATGGATGACTTTCGCATGGGTATATAAATCCATATGAACATGGACTGAAATCCATATGAACATAGACTGATGATGGACGAGTTATCAAACATGATAGAACTTGATAAAACCATGAATCCAATCTTTAATCCAATGTTAAAACAACATGAAACCCATTTTTTGACCATGGCACATGGCTGACTCAAAATCATCCCTTGAGAGGCCTGGCCGTACCTGGCACGGGTCAGGGCCTTTGCCTTAAGGCCTGGCCGAAGAGTTGAAGAGTTGAAATTCACCAGCCGAAACAGATGATTTCATGGGGGATATTCTCATGGGATATAGAACTATCATCAGAAATTGGCTAAGAGATTTATTCTAATAGTTATTCATGATAATATTTGAACTATCATAGAACTATCATCATGGGTAAACCCCTGTTTTTTTTACCCGGTTCTTGGTGGATGGTTTTTATATGAAATAACCATTCCATAGAGGGATTTAGATCCTCCTGATTCGATGATGTTTAAATTCCCGGATACCTGGGATACCTCGTTTTCAACATGACAAGGTTGGTGCAGTTATGGCCATAAAACCAGTTATAACTGGTTATTTCAATGGGATTATACATTCTATAAATGGGGTTTTGTTAGTACTTATCGAAGGAAGTTTAGAAGTCAAACTTCCGACAATATGGACAGATGAAAAGCAGAGCAGGGCAGAGGCAGAGAGAAGAGGAAGCTTAGAAGAGAGAAGATCAGAAGAGAAAGAGTAAGAGGACAGAAGATACAGATGCGCGAAAAGGTAGGAAAGTCGCGAAACACTGTGTTTTTCCAATGATTTGTGGCTCCGGAGGGTCGAAAAGTAGGCTCGCTAAAGCGGCAGGTGCGGAGCCAGCTGGCCACAGGAGCGATGAAAAATTGCACGCCGTTGTGGCGCGAAGCACATTTCGAAGTCAAAAGTGTAAAAAACTGGCGGTCTCGGACCACTTTTGGAAGTTGAGATGTCGAAAAAGTGCACGCCGTTGTGGCGCGAAGCAAATTTCCAAGTCAAAATGTACAAAACACCAGGGGTTCGGACCACTTTTGGAAGTTGCGATGTCGAAAAAGTGCACGCCGTTGTGGCGCGAAGCACATTTCGAAGTCAAAAGTGTAAAAAACTGGGGGTTTTGAGCCTTTTTTTGACGTTAAGATGTCCAAAAAGTAGACACTGATTAACTTAACTAACTTGACTAACTTAACTAACTTCACTAACTTAACTACCCTAACTTCGGCGACAACAGCAACAGCAACAACAACAACACCAACCACAACAACTACAACTACACAACAACTACACAACAACTACACAACAACTACAACTAGGACTACAACTACAACAACCACAGCTACAACTACAACTACAACAACTACAACAACAACTACAACAACAACAACAGCAACAACAACTACTACTACAACTACTACTACTACAACTACAAGCTACAACTACAACTACAACAACTACAACTACAACTACACAACAACTACAACTACAAAACAACTACAGCTACAACTATATGACTGCAACTACACTACACTACTTACATTAAACCACAACTACAACTCCATTACGCTACAACTACAACTACAGTTGCAGTACATCACACTACATCCAGCAGTTGTGGGTGAGGTGACCACTGCAACCAGTGCAACCACTCCAGCAAACACAACTCCAACCACCTTTCGGTCAATCAGTGGATTCGCTCTGCCATCCGTGATTCACAACAACCAACGTCTCCTATAGGTTTCCTATTCTGAAACTTCCGCCACCGCCTTGTGCGGTACTACTGGTAACTAATAAATGGCCATAACTGTGGATGATTGTCGATGTGTATTTAAGGTAGGTGTTGTCAGGATGTAGATGCCATGTTGGTAGGAGTTTCTGGAGTAACCTGTATTGGCTTGTACACGATTGTTGAAGCATGTTGACACTAATGCATTTCTACGCAGCCGATTGAGGGAAACACCTAATTTTTGGGAATGGGCTCAGGTTTCTTGTCATATTTCCATATACCCTCTGGTAATTTAACATAGCTATTGAAAATGGCCATTTATAGTGGATTTACCCATTGAAAATGGTGATTTCCCATAGTTATGTAAACGTTTACCAGAGGGTATTTCCCCTATATTTCGCAGTAAACCAACCCAATCAGCTGGTGGTCTGTATCCATATCTACCAGCCAGGACCGTGCCCAAGAACCAGATGCGCACGAGACGGTGCGCAGCAGTTTGGAGGTCGCTTGGCGTGGCAACGCCCAAGGTTTGGGTTTGGGTTTAGGGCGAGCCAACAATGTAACAATGACACCCTTAAAAAGTTACCAGTAATCAAATGTGGCAATTGAAATCACTTTTAAATTGATGTTTAATGGGAGCATCTAAAAATGGTGTATTTATTTCCATTGCCATGTTTGATTCCCAGAAGATAACCACATGGTCATGTTGGGGATTCAAATATGGGGGGTTCTGAGAATGGGGGCATCATGAAAACCATGGGTTTGAACACTGGACGGGTCCAATTTTCAATCTGGGGTACCCCCATTTTTGGAAAGCTCCTAATATGTATTTCTGCCAGGGTTGTGATTTTGAGCCATACCAAGATATACCAAGATGATGCTGTGAGGAAATTCTAGCACCCCATCCATGAAGCCCAAAACCGGTCACAGTGACCATGGACCACCGTTGTTTACCACCTGGTTGTGACTGGGATGGCCACGACATCATTCCCTTCTGGCTGCACTCGCACGCACCAGTTCTTCGAGAACAAGCTCCCCAATGTTTTGTTTGCTTTCACAGGAGTTATGGCCGTGAACACTTATATAAATGGACATATTACCCCTATAACTAAGGTTATATACCATTATAAACCCAGTTATAACTGTTAAGGACCAAAACTGCAGAATTTCACCGTTTTCCCAAAAGCCCATCCAGAAACCAACCAATAGCCCGTCGCCCAGGCCATGATCTTCACTCCAGTTCCGGCCGAAGCGTAGAATTCACGCTGCCGAAAAAGACGTATATTTTCCCGGGTGCTACAACGCCCTAAAAAATCTCGGTGGTACAACGTTACCTTTGCTGTTTGGATGGACATTGTAGCCATTCATATAATCTTATGTGTACAGTAGGTACCCTCACCCCCCACCAAAATCAGTGATTTTGCTGATTTGCCCACGGTTTTTGATAGTTTTGGGATAGTTTTTTATCTACCTTTTTTAGGGTGTTGTTTAGTTCTGTTGTGCTAGTGGTACATCGTTGGGTTCAAAAGGGGTGCCATTAAAAAAATGAATGAATGAATCTGGAGCATGTGTTACCTCCTAAAGCATGTCCTCCAAACCAATGTGTTTTTTTGTGTGTGTGTGTGTTTTCTCGAGGTTCTTTTGCTGTGTCTATCCACTAGAGGTTCCTGTACTAGAAGGAAAAAGCCAGCTAGTTTTCTTAAAGGTTCTGAGCATTTGCACATGTATATTATATGTATATATGCCATGTACGTACTCCCAAAGCACAAATGTAGCATTCCTTGAAACATGTCAGCTGTCCTTTTTATTTTTTTCTGCTTGCAGACTGCATTTGCTCTTTTACTGTATACCACATGTTTTCCTTGTCCATAAGCAGGGTTCCTGCAACATATGCCTTCCTTTTCTCTTAAAAAGACACATGTACAGTAATAGGTATAATAAGGGGATCATCATTCCATCTTCAATATCCCATTATTACTCATTATTCATCATTATTAACCCATGGACATTCCTTTTGAAACAATTCAGCCTTCCATTTTTTGAAGGGATACCTGCTTCTTGAATGGACATGATTCATTTCCCGAAAGCAATATCGCACTATTTTCCATCAAATGATTTACTCATATTGAAGGGAATAGTCCATGGTGTGTACCACGCAATCTTCAAGGAATTGCATACTTTTTCAACGGAATACTGCATACATAGAACGGTTTCTGTTTTAATCAAAATGCTATTGCCCCAAAAGGAACTTGCACTCTTTCCAAACAGATCTGCACCCTTTCACAAAGGCAACGCTGCAGACATTTTGAACTACATGCTCTTCATGGAAGATAATACGTACTGCTTTCAAAAGAAGTTACGGCATATATAGAAGATATTCTGTTTTGATGTCGATGCAATGGAATTATATAATGGTAATACTGCACGCCTTTCAAAGACAAGCTGCACTGTGTGAAAGTTGGAAGCTCTACGTAATTGCAATGGAATGGTCGACCTCTGGTGAAAATAGTAATGTTTGCACATGTTGAAGATACCCTTAAAGAATAATACTGCACTTAATTGAAAAATATGCTGCACTCTTTGAGCATGTCAAACGTGTGCTATATTATATACGTGCAATCAGATGGTCTAGCCTTTTTCAAAACATGTTTGCTCATGTTCAAGACCTCTTTAGAAACAATATTGCACTCGTTTGAATGTGTATCTATATCGAAATCTACATGTGCACAAAGTGAGACCAGAGCTTGCTCAAGGAATATGGCATTTGTCAAAAACAAACTGCAGCAAAAAACATAATATATGTGTACCTTGTTGGCCCATGTTGTGTTCAGGTATGTCCTATGTGTTTGGAAAGCTATTAAAACCTCGTCACTGTGATTTTGGGCTTTGGGGGTTACAGTAGGTGAGTTTACCTATCATCTATCCTACCTATCCTACTGCAACTGAAACTTACACTGGCACTGCCAGGCACGGTAAGAAATTGGCAAGGGCAAGGGAATCAGCAACCAACATCAAACAAGCATAAACAAGCATAAACTATATCCACATATCATGTGCAGAATGACAGTTGTGGAATCGTTATCATGAACATCTCGAGCCCCCACCGGGACGTCGCGCTGGCATCCTCAAATTCACCAGGCAACAGATGCCCAGAACCGGAGAGTTGGTTGAAACCGATCAACCAGCGGTTGAGGATGGCGTTTTTGTTGCGGAAAGAACACACATTAGTCCTATTATTCCTGCAGCAGATGACAGCTCACAAAATTCCACAGGACCAAGTGGTGTGTTCAGATTCCGTTCTTGAAAAAAAAGTTGTTTATCAGAACTAGCTATCAGAACATGTTTTCTCCTTACCTTGGGTCTCGCCTTGGGTGCAATTTCAATCGTTTGGGAACAGTATAGTAGTATGCATGCAAAATCCATGGCACAACTCGCATGGACAGCGCACCCTCAACTTGCGAAATCGCGCGTGTTTCACCCCCGAAGCGTTGAAGAAAAAGATTCGGTTCGGTTCTTGGGGTAAAGACTACCAATCCCATCCCCCCAAAAAAACACCAGAAGCCTTGATTTAATCTGGTTGGTGGTTTGGAACATTTTTTATTTTCCATAATATATGGGACAATCCTTCCCATTGACTAATATTATTCAGAGGGGTTGAAACCACCAACCAGTAATAGGGGATTTTATTGGATTTGAAATGATTTTAAATGATTTGCACATATTTTGGAGCATTGAGCTTGATATCTGGTGGATGTGATCACAAGATATCGACCGAGTGTACTCTATGTGTATCCCAGTGGACCTCAGAATCAGACGGCGCGACACTAAACTGCACTCATCTACCATATAATAATATATACTAATATGTATATGTAAATGTAAATGTAAATGTGTATATATATATATATATAAGCAAGATGGCCCTTTTCACGTGCATCATTAAAGGTTAGGTATTATTATTCTATTATGTGGATTTACATAGTGATTAGACTTGTAATTGATGATCTGTGATATATGACTTGCTATCGTGTTCCTCTCGTGTATGTGCATGATTTCGAAGCGTACAATGGCCAAGGGCTCGCGCACTGATCGGTCTAAGGAATCAAGTAAAGTTTCTATGTTATTCTGAATCTATTTGCCTCAATGTCATCTATATGTCATCTATATGTAATCTATATGCCATCTATATGTCATCTATATATCATCTATTCTCAATCTGACGCAAAAAAAAATCTGAATCAGCTGTGATCCATCGGAGATCTTTAACCACACGAACAAAACCGAAAACCGCCCGTGACCGGGCGCCGCCAGCAGGAGATGGCGGCGCCGGAGCACACGGCCCTGCTGTTGAAGTGTTACACCAAGCTGAAAGACTTCACCACCCTGGAGGTGCGTCGGAAAGCACACCGGGGATTTTTGTGGGGAGATCAGCAACGTTTTTCATGGTGGTTTGTCATGGTTTTTCATGGTGATGATGGTTTAAAGGATATAGGATTAATTAATCGAATTGAATGGTGGTTTCATGATAACCCTCTGGGGATAGGGGTTTTGATGTTGTGGTGATTCGCTGTTTTTCATGGTGAATAATGTCGTAAGAAACCATGCCCAATGGCTTTCCAGAAATTGGTAGTGTAGTATAAATATAAATCATCCCCAATTAGTCCTGTGGTTGTTTAACATAGCGAACTGGAAAATTGTAACATGTTTTTAAAGTTCGGTAGATCATCATTTCTATTCTCAAACTATAGAAGGTAAATGTGCCATGTCGCCATGTTTGAATTACCTGGTTGTGAAAAACATGTTGGAATATGTTGGAACATTGGTGCAGGTTTCACAGTGGAAATTCAATGGTGAGGTGAAGGCGATTGGGGGTTTAAATATAAACAAAGACTGTAGATGGTTGAAAAACCAGAAGAAGTGGTTCAATTGTTTAAAGTTTTTTTAGTAGGGGTTCAATCGTGACTTCAGTTGAATGCTCCCTGTGTCACTCTGACTTAGCAGTTGCTTTCCCAGCGTTTTGATTGCTGGGAGAAATGGGAACTTTGGTGCTTGTCAGAAAAACAGCCTTTTTGATACAGCTTTATGGGATATCCCCGCGGCAGTGTCGTGTTTCGCTGGCCCCAGGAGTTCTTGAAAACGACCCCTCCACAGCAGTATGACCATGCAACAGCCATTGAGGTGCCGGGGTTATGTGTGCAGATCGCTGACTGGCCAGTTACGTGTTGCCATTGAAAATACGGTGGTCATGATTGTTATCATTGTCGTTGTAGTTTCCCATTGTTATGATTGTCACCATCATCACCATCACCGCCATTATCATCATCATCATCATCACCACCATCATCACCATCATTACCATTTGCCATCATCAATCATCACTTCACTACCATCATCACCACCACCAGCACCACCACCATCATTGTCACCACCAGCGACCGGATGCAGTTGCCTTCCTCGATGGCGTGGTTGGTTGATCTTGCCGTTGCTACCTTTTCAGAGCAGTCCATGTCGTACTGTGCCCGAATGACATGGAACTTGGAAAATCTACTGAAAGTGGTGTCACCAGATGTGTTATTCATGTCAGAAGTAATGTGTGTCTATTCAAGGGATCCATCATTCAAGGGTCGAGTCTATGTTGACCATGAAAGACAATGCATGCTGAGCGACAGCCCGTTGGGACACCCCAAAAATTGCAAACAAGACTGCGAAATCAATCACATGAAGAGAAATTCTATAACTATATGATCAAGGACAATATTTCAACAAGGCTTTACTTCACGAAGCACCTGGAGGCCCCCCTACAATGATTGCAGTCCCTGTCAGTCGCGTTTGAGGTCTTGGAATCCGCAGCATATCATGGTCTAGCCGCAGAAGTGGCTCAGAAGGCGACCAGACCGGCCACATGTTGGAAGTTTGAAAACCGGTGATCTGTTTGTTGCAAACTCGTTATAACCTCAAAAAAAAGGATGTATCTGAAGATATGGTGTACCCCATTTTTGAATAAGTGCTTTTAATCTGCAAAACAAAGAGAGAAACCATTGGATTTTGACAGCTGTGAGGTGGGCCGTTTCGATGACTACGTGCGGATCTCCTTGGAGCAGTTGGGAGCCAAGAAGCCGGCGGATGACGACTTTCCAGCAGTGATTTTCTGTGGTTAAAACGATGCCATAAACTAGCCATGGCTGGGAATGCTAACCATACCACCTATAAAAATGGTGATGACTGGGGGATGGTTTTATGGCTTTGTTTTAACCACATTACGTATTTTGACTAGTTTGACAGACTGATACTCCAAGGGATTTGGCTGAATGCCACCACATCACGATGTTCTTGCCAAATCCGCCAATGTGATTGGAGGAAATGACACGCTGATTGATTAGTGGCATCATCCAGATCTATCGCATGGAAATTTGTTGGCTGCCCACTATCACTATATTATTACTATAATATATATATATACACATGCATACACATACACACACATACACACACATATACACATACACATATATACACACATATACACATGGATACACATACACACACACATATACACATATACACATATACAAATATATTAATATACACATATGCACGTATACGCATATACAAAAAAAACATACACACACATATACACATACACATATACAAATATACAAATACACACATATACACGTATACGCATATACAAATACACACATACACACATACATGCATGCGTGCATGCATGCATGCATGCATACATATATATATATATATACATACCTATAAAAATATATATACATGTAAAAATATTTACATGTATATACACACATATATATATATGTATATTAATATGTTTGTATATTTATTTATATACATGATCAATGCTAATCGGGATAAAAAAAAATCGTGGTGGCATCCCCATGGTTGGTGGCTCAGCTTTCCATTTTGTTAAAGTCCTTTTCAATGGAAAATTACCCAACTTGAAAATGATTTAAAAAAAAACATACCTCAGTCTGTGGCTATGAGATTCTTATAATGATATTTCAATGGTTGAAATGGTAAATTGGTTGTTCAAATCATTTTAAATCCACAACTTTGCTCTGTTAAATCATCTCAGATCTCAGACAATTACTTTGCTTTGTGGTCGTTGAAAGCATGGTAAATCCGCATGTGGATTGCTTAATTCCTATAGGCCCTATGTTGCTTGGTGACATGCCCCTGTTCGTCTGGTTACATCATGTTAAACACCGATGTCGGTGAAATCCCTATGTTCAATAGTTAAATCCCTTTGTTGGTTAAGTGCCCACTTGGCTGGTTTCAAACTCTTATGTCCAAGCCTATTTGGGATGATGATCACAACTGACAGCCCCAGATTTTTCAGGGGCAGACCTCAAGCACCCTGGCCCCATGATCTGCGGCCTACACTCAGCAGCTTTCAGCTCTGAGGTTCAAGAACTGTAGCACCACCGTGGAGTTCCTACGCTCTTTGTCCAAGGCTGAGGTCGCCACATGTGGCATATCCATGCATATCCCAGATCGAAGATGATGGCTTCAAAGCCAGTTGTGTATAACCTGGATAAGATGGAGATGTTTGTATAAGCATTAACACACTGTGAGATGAGTCTGTCAGTCCAGAGGTTTCTGGAAACCCCAAAATCCAGTGGTTTATTATCAATGCCTCATGCGAATGGCCCAAAAAAAACACTTCCATATGGCTGGTTGCCGGTTTTTCGCCTGTTTAAATGGAGAATGTGTGAAGAATTGGAACATATTTTAACAAGCTTCAGGAGCTATAGCATGAGGGAAAAAATGGTACACCATTGGAACTGGTAGTTAATCTACTTGCTGGCTCTTCAGTTCTTCACCAAGAGGTTATCCCTCTCTATATATAGTTTCGAACATGTTGGGGATTATGATCCTACTTGACGTTCATATTATCAGGATGGTTTCGCGATGGGTTGAAGGTGCCAATCACCTAAATATGCGGTTTCTCATATATATATATTATTATGTTGTATTTGTTCTATTATATATAGATATAACATATATATATATATAGATAGATGGATCATCAGAATCTAATTTAAGAATGAAACAATGCGGACATCATTGCTACCAAACATCCACACAGATGATCAATTTTGTTGAGGACCTGAGGGGGCCCATTGCGATGATTACTGATGTGATCTTCTCGAACTGGCACACCCGTGTTGGCTATATGATGTTAGCTACACTGCTATAATATAATATACTATACTATTTGACAAATAATACAAAGATGATCTTATTGCTGATGATTACTGATGATTACTGGTGTTTCTTTTCAATTTTTGTTGGCTTATCACCCGTTAAGCGAAAAATAATATTTGTTTATCAGAAGGCTTGATTGGCACTCGAAAGTACCAAAGCTGGCAGGGGTATTCAGATAGTAATATTCCACACCGCCTAAAAATAGACCCAGTTCCCCAAGAGAATGGTTTATGATTTCAGGAACTTCCAGCATGGTAGATCATGATCCGGAAAACCCATTGATTTCCATCAAAAGAAGAGCCGCTGACGTCCGCTGACCCCTTGGGCCTGGTGGCAGGCTGGCCGCATCCTGCTTCGGATGGGGCGAATGCTGATGCGACATGCACCCAAGGAGAACGGTGCAGTTATGGCCATAAAAACCAGTTATAACATGTTATAACTGGTTATTTCAATGGGATTATACATTCTATAAATTGGGGTTATAAGTACTTATAACTAATAACTGGCCAAGGATTGGTGGAAAATGGGTCTCCACAAAGCGAGAAAACTTTTCTGAAATGCTAAACGTAGGGATTTTTTGGGAATTTGGAATGATCCACTGGCTAACTATCAATAATCATCCCAGCAACCCCCATTCCCATCTATTCCCTACTAAGCAGCAGTAAGATCATGGTGATGAATGGTGATGAATATAGTGTTTAATATAGCGATGAATAGTGATGAATATTGATGAATAATGGCTAATGATGGTTTCTTGATGGCCAATAATCCATTGGGGGGTTTTCCATGGGGAATGGATGGTTTGTTTTGGTGGAAAATCCGAAAATAAGATGAATGAGAACTAGGGGTACCCCCATGTTAGGAAATAGTGGGGAATGATTCATTAGGGTATTTATGTGGAAAGTTACCATGCTTTGCTAATTAATATTTGCTCATTAATCATGACGTGGTATAGCTAATTAATGCTAGTTAATCCATGGTTTAGCTATAGACGTAAGAACTACAGTTGCCGACAGAACTATAGAAAAAATAGATAATTGTTTTTTTCTTTATATTTTTTCTATAATTATGTCGGCGGTTATGATTAGTGATGAGTGTTGTTGTATGCATTTTACTTCCACTGTTTTCATCTCTTTTCAACAGAATTCACCACTTGACCATGGTTTTCATCATTTCAGCTTCAGTGGATTTCAGTAGTTTTTGCATTGGCGTATGATAAGTTTCTTTCTCCCGGTTTCTGGGGTCAGAATTTCCAAAGAAGTTCTAAAAAATCAAACTTCGGGTGGTGGATCGGTTCCCGGCTACCCTTTTGGGATGATTTTGTGCCAACTTTTCCCGGAGGCTGTCCAGGATGACCAATCTGTCAAGACAAGTATGTATACACATTTGTTGATCAGGTGTGCCAAAATAGATGATATTTCATCACTTTTAGTATTGGTTTCACGAAATTCTCCATCCTATTTCAGCCTTTTGCCATTGGTTTCAATCAATTGTCCAACCTATGTTAATATGTTTTCATTAGTTTTCAGCATTTGTTCAACATATTGCAACATTTTACCATAGGTTGTCATCAGTTGTTCATTCTATTTCATTAATTTTAGCATCGGCTTTCCTTAGTTTCTTTTTCCCGGTTTTTGGGAACAATTTCAAAAGGAGTTCTTTGTTCAAAAAAAGCTGACCAGCTACCCTTTTTGGATGGTTTTGTGACAACTATTTTCTTGCAGTTCCATGCAGTTCTATTTTCTATAATTCACTTTTCCCGGAAATGGCTGTCCAGGATGACCAATCTGTCAAGACAAATATGTATACACATCTGTTGATCAGGTGTCCCAATATATATATATATATATTTCATCACTTTTAGTATTGGTTTCACGCAATTCTCCATCCTATTTCAGCCTTTTGCCATTGGTTTCAATCAATTGTCCAACCTATGTTAATATGTTTTCATTAGTTTTCAGCATTTGTTCAACATATTGCAACATTTTACCATAGGTTGTCATCAGTTGTTCCTTCTATTTCATTAATTTTAGCATCGGCTTTCCTTAGTTTCTTTTTCCCGGTTTTTGGGAACAATTTCAAAAGGAGTTCTTTGTTCAAAAATGCTGACGAGCTACCCTTTTTGGATGGTTTTGTGACAACTATTTTCTTGCAGTTATATGCAGTTCTTTTTTTTTCTATAATTCACTTTTCCCGGAGATGGCTGTCCAGGATGACCAATCTGTCAAGACAAGTATGTATACACATCTGTTGATCAGGTGGCCCAAAATAGATGATATCATTTTAGCATTGGTTTCACACAATTGTCTATCCTATTTCAGCCTTTTGCCATTGATTTAAAGCAATTGTCCAACGTATTTCATTGTTTGTTCATTAGCTTCTAACCTTTTTGTGCCATTGGTTTTTATTGCTTGTTTGTTTATTAGTTTTTGGCAACTGTTTAGCAAAACTTAACTGCTTTCGGAAATTCTTGGATGATGTCGCCAAATAATTATAGAAACAAACTGGGTACCAGAAACTATGGAATTCTGGGGCAATTTGGCAGGGATTGCCCAAAATACAGGGGCAACATGAATTATAGAAACAAGCAAAAGTCACCGACAGAATTATAGAAAAAAACCCTGGAAGTGGCCAAAAGTTAACGATAAAAACATCTGTTTTTGTTGTTAACCCTTTTGGGGAAAACTGAATCATAGAAAAAGCTGATACGGCAACTGCTCGGTAGATTTCTTTCCTTTTTTTCTACATAGTATAGCCATGGTTTTTGCTGTACAGTATATTTTAAGTCATGACTCTCTCTGGGGGTATCCATGTTAAGTTGTTGCCTCCCAAATCAATGGTCAGGGCTTGTTTTTTTTCATGCACATTTTAAGGAATTCTTGAAAAAATATCGACCACCGACCACTCGTGTGGTAGAGTTTCATATCTTTCTTCTGCTACATTCCCAAGTGGAGTGTGATTTTTCTGGATGAAAACTACCAAACTGAAAAGATGGAAACGGAATTCCTCCATTTTTCGACAGCGAACACAGCTTGATCCCAAGAAGATAGACACCCCATGGATCCAAACACTTCGGAAGAGGGTACCTTCCCTGGAGCATACAGTCGTACTTCCCTAGGTACTTCGGGGCTTATTTATGGGGACAGCAACAAACTAGATCCGGTCATCCGATCCCCAACGGCGGTTGTCTGAAACTTCTCCGAACATCTGGAAAGCCAAATGTTCACTGGTTTTTCAGGTTGAACAAGGTCGAAGATCGCATTGTCCCCATGAAAAACTGCCAGTACTTGGGTAAATCCTCCGTTTTGACCCTCACCAGGAGACCATTGCATTGGTCCGCCATGTCACAGATGGAGCTGCCGGAGCCCGAAAAACACTTCAATTTCCCGGTCGAGGGGTAGGCCACACCTCAGGTGTGAGGTAAATGTTGATTTTACTGTGATTTAGCCAATTTCCTGCCAGGTATCTCGGGAGCTATCCTGATATTTTGCTGAAGAAGGCAATGTTTTGGGGAATCCATAGGGAATATGTTTTGTTTTCTTTGGGGGGCCTCTTAAGCAAATCCAAGTATAGATACCCAAAGTAGATAGACACATGAAACATCTGAAAAGTGCGTGACAACTAGGAAAAATATGAGTACCCTTCTGGGTACCCTTTTGCGGACCTAGATATAATATGATGTGTATATATATATATATGCATGTTTAATATATGCATTCTGTAATGCAGCCAGCCATGTATATGATTATATTATATATATGGTGCTATTTAAATTATGCTATATTATATGTATAACTATATGTATATGTGTGTATATGGTGCTATATTTATACTTTGCTACATGCACATACTGCTTTGCATACACGTGTATACACATGTATTGCATCGTCATACATTTGCCTAATCGCGGCACTGCATACTCAGTATCGTTTGCCATTATACATACGCGGAGTGTATATATAAGATATATATATATATACACATTATATATATATATATGCAATCCATCGATTATGTTTATATATGCTTATTTAATTACTTCTTGTTTGAACCTCCTATATTTGACAGCACCACATCATGGGTTTCCTGTATAAATCACATCTAGGAAAAACAATGTAAAACATGGCTCCAAAGGCCTTACAAAGCTACACTTGTGCTATCATGTCGGGAAGTCACTCAAGCACTTCATCAGGATATTAGTTTTAAGCTTGATTCAAAAAAATGGATGGATCAACATCTATTTATTATAAAATATGGCTTTATGGATGGACATCCATACATCCCAGCTGTTGAGGCGGTTAAATTATCCGGTACTGGGTATCATCCGACACGGGGTACATGGATCTAGCTGAGGCCGAAGACTTTCAAGGCCTGGGAAGAGTCGGTTGGATCCCACAGTTATGGCCCGAAATACCAGTTATAAGTTGGTTAAAACTCCATTTATAGAAGGATAACCACATGTTAAACCATTTACAAGTGGTAAAGGTCTTTAACTGCCATATTTGCACAGACCCCCAAGTCTTATCTCAAAATCCGAAGATGGGAAACAGAACATGTTCATCCAATTGATTGAAATCGTTGTTTCAGACAGTTCTCCATATAATGAGTCCACGTTCCAACTGATTTGTACTGAAAACCAGAATTTTGGGGAACCCATTTCTCCATGTGTTGTAAACTTCGCCACCGGATTTGAATTGTCAGCCCTAAATTTCCCAATCTGCAGGCCCCAGTATCGACGAACTTCTGCCAGTCTTCGCTCCTCGGCATGGAACGAAGGGAAACACTACCGAAGATAGGTGGAGCATATGGGAAAATCATGGAAAATCTTATTTTTTAACGGAAAAAACATGGAAAACCATGGGAGCATGAATACACTGTACTCATTGTTCCCCCTAGATACAAGATAATAGAAGGTTTCCTGTACATCTGTACATTGTCCCTTTAAACCAACCCGTTGATATTGTGCAGGTAGACGATCCGTCGCAATTAGAGGTGCGGTTTTTGTGGGACGCACATTTTCGGACATTCTTCGGAATACCTACAGCAGGGGAATTTGCAGTACTTCAATGAGAACAAAAAAACGAGGGACATGGAAAAAAAATATCATGCAGTTATGGCCATTACCAGCTATAACTGGTTATAAATGGGATTATACATTCTATAAATGGGGTTTTGTTAGCACTTATAACTAATAAATGGCCATAACTCTGCAAAATCGATCTGATGTTCTGCACTGTTTTCTCAAGTTGTTTCCTCCAGATTGTGTGTCCACAGCTTCCGAGCGGGCCAATAGGGATCCAAATGGATCCAATGGTTGCGATGAGGCTTGTTCCAACACGTTTCAAGATTCTGGAGAGATGAGTCTGTTTGAACATAGGCTAGCAAAGGTGATGGTTGATGAATAGATATGATCAGTTTCTCGGATAAAACATCTCATTTTCGGCATTGGATAAAGCCATACCCGGCCTGGTAAACAAACGTAGCTATTGAACATGGCCATTTATAGTGGATTTACCCATTAAAAATTGTGATTTTCCATAGTTATGTAAACGTTTACCAGAGGGTATCTAAGACTCATTTGGATTGATGGCGCATGTTTGCAATGACTTGGTATGGGAAAACCCCGCTTGCACCAAAAGAATCGGCATCAAAAATCTGTGAGCTGGGGGTGGACCATTGGACAAGATGTTTTTTTACTCCCAAATACAGGGGGGGTTCTCGTGGTTTCCTCCACTTTTCCCCTCAACGAAACCCAAATATGCAATTTTCTCAAATATTGAACCCCCAAAAATCCTTAGGTGTATCTTCATTTTCTCCACACACACATAGTTATTGAGGGTATCCGTATCCTCAACTTTGAAACAGACTCATGGTTAAATCACCCATTAGGGTTGGATAGGTTGGGATATATAATGGATATGTTCCATCATATCCCATCATAATTTTCCCATTTCAACCCATTACTGTAGGTATCCATAAGGTATTACCCATCATCGGTAAAATCCACACTTCAATGACTCAATAGCCATATTCTGGCTGGTTCAATCTCCTGTTCAAACATATTCACCCCAAGCTGGACGTTGCTCCACACTTACAATCGTCATGGTCGTCATGATCGTCATCATCATCATCATCATCATCATCACATCATCACATCATCACATCATGATCATCATCACATTAAAAATTGCCACCCCCTCTGAACAAAATGTTGACTGGGGTAATAACATCAACTTTATCTTCATGAGGGATCAAAATCCACCACCGCCTATGAACAATGTGTTGATTGGAGTAATAACATCAACTTTATCTTCATCAGGGATCAAAATCCACCACCGCCTATGAACAATGTGTTGATTGGGGTAATAACATCAACTTTATCTTCATCAGGGATCAAAATCCACCACCGCCTATGAACAATGTGTTGATTGGGGTAATAACATCAACTTTATCTTCATTAGGGATCAAAATTCGCCACCCCCTAAGAACAATATGTTGATTGGAGTGATAACATCAACTTTTTCTTCATAGCCACCTGATGTCAGACGCGGCGCAACATCAGGGTTGCAGCGAACACATTCTATGGAACAAGACATGCTTTCAGAGCTATTTAAATATGTCATTCATATATATATATATACATATGTCACCATATAACTTTATATTCCTTAATGATTGCTGGTTACATCACCATGTTCCATCATATGTTCCCATAACCATCTTCAAACAACATTTTGTTGTGGTTCTCCCATCTACCATCTCCCCATGGCTGGGGCGGGGTGATGCCCAACCCATCCCTCAGAGCGGGAGGTCTTCTTGAGATCGGTTCTTTTAGATGAAGGCTGTCAGCTTCCGCATGCCAAGGCCAGGTACGAAGGCTTGTGAGGCTTTGAGCATCAGAGGTAGCCAGACATATGGGCATAAATTTATGATATTTATATTTATGAATCATGGCTGGACATTTTGGGGGGAAACTTTATGCTACATGTATATATATATATATTCACTATTTTGGGGATTATCTGGGAATCCTCATTAACCGATCATTAACCAACACATTTGATCCATTAGGGGAGGTTTTCCAATAGAGTCTTGACGTTTCTGGAATGGCACAGGGGCTTCAAACAACGGCAGTGGAACATCCAGCGAAGATATCTATGGATAGACTATGTCCTATTGAATTCGTCTAAGATGTTCGATGGTCATGGTTTATTACTAGAAGGCACTGAAGTTGACCAATTTAGGGCCCTGCAGCAATGATAATGTATCAATATATATATATATATATCTGTTAACATGACACTTGCTAGCGGATGATTGGGGAATGAACATCTCTTGCTAGACATGTCTTCGGCACATAGAAGCTGATCATGAATACCCCAGGATGTGCCAGGATCCTTGACACCCCTTGGCAGGGTAAATCCCCAAAGTAAGGCCATTTTTGGGAACACTCCATTTGTTGAGCAGCCATGCTTACCACCTGACTTCATGCTGGCTTCGAAGCTGAACAATGCTAGATGCCCATTTTGGCGATTTTAAGTTAAGTTATTATACATACAAGGTGGTTTCCGCCAATGATAAGTTGGTCTATAGCCCTCATCCAACTATAGTGGCATCATCACCGTAAAGCCATGGTTGGCCCTCCGGTAACATGGCCGAGACATCCTCCAAGTAGCAATGAGCAGCACCTTTCAAGCGACAGGCAGAAAGCCTCTTTCCGACGCTCCTGGAGCTTCTCGTTGGGATTCCCTGGTCAAATTACGGGCTGCTGATGGTATGAATTGATGTCAAAGCCAAGTCTAAGATGGTTCATGGAACTACTTAAATATGTGTTTACTAGTATTAGATATGTTTACAGCAAACTTTGAACTAGTATATATGTTTATTGTTTGAATTTGTTTGCTGTAGATGTAGAAGACTTGCAGTTTAAGCTACATTGCAGTTCCAGACCTTCTGTGAGTCTTACACGAGTTTTTGCCGCGATTTCCACAAGAGAAAACTGATACTTTGATCAAACATGATAAACTTGTTTGATATATTCATTCATACATACATATATATATATATATATATTATGTATATGTATACATATTAGTAGAGAATTATGTCAATGCGGTGATTGCAAAAATCCGGCAAAGGCAGAACTATTTGAACAGTACCAAGAATTCGGGTTCCAACTTCTGATCCCTTGGGGAGTTTTGCGCATTGAAGCCGTGCGTCGTGGATGGCCCTCGGTTGGAAATGATCTATCTGGTGGCTACAAACCCTCTGGTAATTTAACATAGCTAATGAACATGGCCATTTATAGTTGATTTACCCATGAAAAATGAAGGTTTTTCCATACCTATATGTTAGTTTGTAGAGGGTTTTGGTTATGTGCTGCTTGAAGCTCGTAGTCAAAGTTAACCGAGGTCAAGTCGCATAGCATTGCCAGCGATGCAAGCGAGGTGCCAGACCTACTGTTCGCTACGGTTCAAGAGGATTTGGAGGTTTCCTGAAATGGGGGTACCTCCAAATCATCCATGTGATTTTCAGATTTTCCATTCTAAACCATCCAGCTATGGGGTTACCGCCTACCCCATTTATGGAAACCCCATGAAACCCCCATTTCAGAGTTTCAGCATTTTTGTTGAGAAGCTATGAAATTAAGATTTGCAGCTGTGCGGAAGCATTGGATTTTTCGTATTGAGTGCTTTCATGATCTCAAATATTTGCTGGTCACATGCGATATGTTTCAATTGAATCATATTTTTTGATGGTGAACTTTGAGACCATTTCTTTGTCATTAACGAGGCCGAATGGGGGTCGCTGGCGCACAAGTTTATCAAGCATGCAGCTACAGTTACCGGTTTTCAGTGGCAAGCATTGGGATTTTTGAGGCTGTTTTGGGCAGTTGGGGTACAGTACTTCTTCCGTATCACCATACAGTGGATGGTTGCGAAATCCTTCACCAGTTGATAGATGGTTTATCCCATTATTCACAGGGTTTCAACCATCCGTTTGGTGATGCAGGATTTCGCAACCATCCACAGTAGTTCATGGCTTGAATCACCCCCCTAGGAGGTTTCTAAACGCGAGGCGTCCAGAATCTCTGCTGATATCATGAGGCTCATCAGACAGCGCCTTGGCTTTGGGGGATAAGAAACGATATCGGTCCTACTTTAGACTGTACTGGTCTCTAGTCCGGACGCAATGATGATTCTCAGGGCATTTATTTGGTACCTTGATACTTTGGAAAGGAGGCAGACATGAGTCCAAACCTCAACTCTGAGGCGATGGGAACCCGATCCTTTGGCACGCTTCATTGTTTTAACTTGGATAGTCAATACCATTTTGCCGGCGCAAGATTGCATAGAGCTGAGTTTTCTCAATCATATATATATATACATACTGTATACATCTAGTTAGACTAGACACACACGACTGAAGGGCGCGCGCGCGCTTGAAATTGTCAAGTTGTTTGGCAGCGGTCTTTTATGGAATGATACTTCTACAAATATCATCAAATATCACCAGAGATAACTGGTTGGTGGTTTGGACCATTTTTCATTTTTCCATATATTGGGAATAATCATCCCAACTGACTTTCATATTTTTCAGAGGGGTTGAAACCACCAACCAGATAAGTTAATTCGGAGCCCTTCGTACGTAACTGTTCCAGTGCTATGGATTTTCTATATGTTGAGACCATGATGAACTCCATGATTTGGGACGGTCGGCCTGTGAGAGTGGATCAAGTGACCTGAGATCGTGAAATTTGACACCGTCCATGAGGATATATGAGGATACGATACTAAGATTACATCATTTAACCCCAAAGATGGATGGTTTAGTACTAAGAAGATCTAGAAACGAGTAATTAATGTGGTTAAAAGGTTAAAACAATGCCATAAACCACCCATGACTGGGAATGGTCAACATACCATCTCTTCGTGGTGAAATTGGGGATGGTTTATGGCATTGTTTTGACCACATTACAAATTTTGGGCCCATAGTTTTGCCCCATTGCCACTTAGGTATCCCAGCGACGCGGCATTGGCAAACACGCTGATGGTCTGCCAGTGCCTGGCCTCAGAACAAATATACTGTATATGTATATATATATATATGTATACAAACACCCTGGTTGTGGGTTATGAAATAGGGAGTTCTACTACCTGGGTTATTGTGCTTTGTTATATCCCATAGATTCCCATAATATGTAGGGAAACTGTTCCCAATTCCACTGCAGTTCAATTTATTTCATGTATGGTATGGTATGCTTTGATGATTCAAAATCACTCATTCGACAATGTAGTTAATCATGTTAATCTTCATTTTCACGAATTGTGTATGAATAATTCCACCATAAAGTGTCAAGTAATTCCATCGGGCTCCCCAGTTTTGCATTTGCAACGCGGACCATAAAGGGTCTAGGTAGGTTTGTTCAAATGACCTACCCAGAAGATCCTAGAAGTACAAATAAAAAGGAGGATGATTACCCCAAATGCCAGGCTTACAGTTATGGCCATTTACCAGTTATAACTGGTTATAAATGCGATTATACATTCTATAAATGGGGTTATAAGCACTTGTAACTAATAAATGACCATAACTGTACCATCTGTTTCTTCATGAAAAGGTTCGATTTTTTTTCCTACCTGTATATACAGTATGCTCCCTTTGTTTTTACTCACAACAATGCACCAGGACTTCCCCCCAAACAAAAGCCCAGTCAGATATTTTTCCACCGTGGGAAATACACGGAAACCATGGTAGCCTCAAAAAGAACTAGTTTGGTCTGTGGTTTGGAACATTTTTTATTTTCCATAATATATATATATATATAAAAATCAATATATGGGATGTCATCATTCCCATGGACTTTCATATTTCTCAGAGGGGTAGGGCTCTACCACCAACCAGTAGTTTGAATGGTCTTGCTCAACGGGCATTCCCCCCCCACCAAGGGTGATGATCATAAAATGGCCAAGCAGCTCATTATTGCCTCATTGCATCTCATTGCCTCCTTGCTATATCCCCAGCGAAGTTGAATCACCATGAAATCGCAGATCAGCCAAGGACCTATGGTTTCGTGGATGGTTTCTTCTATGCTGCAGAGAAACTTCACCGACATCAGCTGCTAATGCACTGGTGCTTCGAGCACAAGGATTTTCCACCAAATGGGACCAACTGGGACGCTGGAAAAGGCTGGCTGAAAGTGGAATAGTTATTGAAAATTGCCATTTATAGTTGATTTACCCATGAAAAATGGTGATTTTCCAGTCATGTTAGTTTACCAAAGGCTGTTTTTTAGGACGAACATGAAATTTAGGGACTCAATGTTTCTCGACAATCGATCGCACTGGTCGTTTTGAGATACTGCAACTTGAAAACACATCCAGCTGGTCCAGCTCTATAGATTGAAGGGGAGCCCGAAGATGTTCTATACTTGTAGATGTTTGAGGATTTCTGTTGATGGTGGAATGAGTATGCATTCCCCCGCAAGTCCTTAGGTCACCTAGGTCCCTGTCTTGAGATATGAAGTCATCTATCACGATTTTTATCCAGTAAATTTCCAGAGAATTGCCCAACTAAATCATTTGTTAATCAACAAGACTGTTGTGACATCCGAATTTTCATTTGAAGTCCCAATAAATATAATTGTCGTTTTTTGTATATCAATCAGTTTTCATTTGATCCTGTTTTCTTTTCATCTTGTTTCATTGACAACAGTTTTCAACAATTTTCGTTCATCAGGGGGGGTTCAGTTAGAACCCCATCGGAGTTGGTCAGAGTTTTGTCCCCAACTTTTGATGGCTCATAGTAAATAAATAAAATGTAATATATATATATATATATATTATACATATAACATATATAATATGTTTGATGTGATACATATATATATATATCATATATGTGTATCATACATACATACATACATATATATATTCATGCAATATCATGGAATACATATGTGTATATACAATTATATATATGCGGGATATCTATGTATATGGGATTTATAATATGCATGCACGTATATGTATATATATAATATATACATATACATATATATATATATACATACATGTCACCCACTTTCATCGCGCGTTACAACAGCGACACGGATCCTTCCAGGATGCTCGGCGTCTCCTAGAGGTCTGCAAACGCTGTGGACCCGACCAAAGCTTGTGGGTTCAGGCGAGCCACGGTTGCTCAAGATCTACGGTGCTCTCCGATTATTTAACACGATATATAGGGGATATCCTGCATTTCACTACATTAACATAATTTTGGGGAATGGGATATTGTGGGGGGTTGCTATGGAGAATGAGCCATTTGCCTATTGAGCACGGTGATTTTCCATAGCTGTTTTAAATTACCAGAGAGCATCATATTGTCGTTGTTCTAATTTGTACTACTGGAATGTGTCAAGATTATAATTGTGTGCTTTCATTTTATCATGTATTGATATATTGTGTTATAGGTATGCACAGATGAATAACATTACACAAGTAAATGGATAAAGAGACGGTTCTATCGTGTTCTATGTAGAAGTGCACATTGAATTGGATTATGAATGGACCTTTTCGGCCACATCACGTTTTTGAAGATTTGAAATCCTTGCGCCTAGTATAAGCTAGTGCTCGTCTTCATGGTCCCATAACTTCTGATGCGTCCTAAGAAGTGCTCTTGGTATGCTCTTGGTTTATTTGTGTAATATATATATATATATATGATTATATATGTATAATGATGTTTTCATACGTGCCATAAATTTCTACAAGGCACTATCATTGCAAAATACTCCCTACTTTGAAAAGAGTGGAACTGGAATTTAGCCACTGGACTTCACATCGTTTCAAGCCCCACGAGAATCGGAAGTATTTGGCAAGCGGCCATGGGAATAGGGGTCCGTTCTTGTAGGCTGGCTATTATACATATTTATACACATGTGTATATATATATATAGACAGTATATATATAGTATATATATATATACAGTATATATATATACAGTATATATATACAGTATATATATATATACAGTATATATATATACTGTATATATATATACAGTATATATATATAGAGAATATATATATATGTGTGTCTATATACACACCTTCGATATATGTACAGAATGAGATACCTGCTTCCAGACTAGGTTGCCAGTTCGGCTTAGCTCGTTTCAAGGTTTTTTTGGCATTCATCTGAACTCTGGTTACAAGACAGAGTTGTGGACTATCTTGATCCAAGCTAGCTTGTGCGGTCATATGTCCACTACGGCTTGGAAGCCTGATTGGAATTTGTTTTTTTGCTGGAACTTCTGGAGGAGTTAGGAATGCATGTTGTGATGTGCTTGCAAGGCTTGTCTGTTTGGAGAATAGACGGATACCCTCTGGTTATTTAACATAGCCATGGAAAATGGTCCATTTATAGATGATTTACCTATTAAAAATGGTGATTTTCCATGGCTATGTTAGTCATAACCAGAGGGTATGTAATGCCAAACTTTTCTGCTTGTCCCGTAGGAAACCATGCTGCCATGCAAAGGTTTGTACACGAGCCTGCCGGCAAGAAACCACAGAAGCAAGAAATTGATTCAGATTCCGCTCTCCACATTAAACACCGGTTCCGGAAACTTAGGAGGAGAGCTTCTTAAAATGGGGGAACCTCGATAATTATCCAAAAACAACTGTGCTTGTTTAAATAGGACATCATGACATCCGTTGGTTTTGATGCCCCTTCATTTTAAGAAGCCGCTGAGTTAAAAAAACACACGGCTGCCCCATCCAAATAGTTTGTAGGTTTGGATGTTGGTCTTCTCTTGGTAGGAATAGGTTTGGACCCATCTCAGCCGTAGCTGAATCCCTTTCCCTCTTATTGAAATGGGAAGAAATTCACATGTGTGATTCGTGAAAATCCTCATTTGTTTGGTGGTTTGGAACATGGCTTTTATTTTCCACAATAGTTGGGATGACGATCCAATCTGACTTTCATATTTTTCAGAGGGGTAGGTCAACCACCAACCAGATTATTATTAATCCCTTCCTCCTAATACTAAACCCCCCCCCTAATACAAAACACGGCAGGTAGTTTTTAGTATTAGGGGGGTATTTATTATTAGGGAACCAAATCGAAGTCATGTTAATTAACTAATTAAATTTCCTTATATAACGCAATTAAAATATTGCCAAAAATGGCAGTTCGAAGCTTACCCCTAATACTAAATTAAAACCCTTAATACTAAAAACTATTTTTTCCGATCTCAAAATCAATTAAATTTCTTTATATAACGCAATTAAAATATTGCCAAAAATGGCAGTTCGAAGCTTACCCCTAATACTAAATTAAAACCGCCCTTAATACTAAAAACTATTTTTTCCGATCTCAAAATCAATTAAATTTCTTTATATAACGCAATTAAAATATTGCCAAAAATGGCAGTTCGAAGCTTACCCCTAATACTAAATTAAAACCCTTAATAATAAAAACTATTTTTTCCGATCTCAAAATCAATTAAATTTCCTTATATAACGCAATTAAAATATTGCCAAAAATGGCAGTTCGAAGCTTACCCCTAATACTAAATTAAAACCCTTGATACTAAAAACTATTTTTTCCGATCTCAAAATCAATTAAATTTCCTTATATAACGCAATTAAAATATTGCCAAAAATGGCAGTTCGAAGCTTACCCCTAATTGCTAGAGTAGCCAGGCAGCTTGGAGTGAGGGATTGGGACTAGGCCCCCCTAATACTAAAAACTCTAAACACCCCGGGGTGAATTAGTTTTTAGTATTAGGGGGGAGAACCCACAAATGGTAGGTTGATTTTTAAATTGTTTTTTAAAGGGGATCAATTAAAAGTCAAATTGGCCAAACTGAAATTTTCGGAAATTGGAGATGGATGCCTGTTTTTAGTATTAGGGGGACGTTTAGTATTAGGAGGAAGGGATTAACCACGAACCAGCCATCATTTTTCGTATCACAATCCTCCCCTTGGGATGCCTCGCTCTCGGTAGGCCTTGTCCTTCCTGGCTTCGCCGGAGAGCGGTGGAGGACACCTGGAAGAGATTCAGGAAGTGCTGCGGCATATCGAGGCGCAGAAAACAATGGCGCACAACGGGGCGGGCCATGGCAGCATGAAAACTCTAGGGTTTCTACGTAAAATTACATGCGAAATCACTGGTTCCCTTTGGAATTCATCTAGAAATGGTAAGTGTGGAACAATCGAACTAGTACTTTACAGGACTGTATGTATGGACACCAGCATTTCTACAGCACTAATTGTTTATGTAAATTAATTCAAACATGTATGTATACATGTCTGAATGCAATCTATTGCGAATGATTTGATTGAAACGTGGAAATTGAAGGATTTCACTGGGGGTCGGCCAAGCCATAGAAATGTTGATCCACAAAGATGGACATTTGAGTACTTCTTTGTTGGTTTTCATTTGGGTCAAAGCCTAGCAACTCCGAAGCCAGTGAATGGTTCCGATATGTTCCCATGGAAACGATGCACTGAAAACATGTTCGAGAGTCGGTGGTGCCAAAGATTTTCCCCAAAAAAAGCCGGGGCTACCCACCATTATCATGATGATATATGATCATTGATTACGTATATATATATATAATTATTATATATTATCATATATCCCCAAAGAAGGATACAACTTTTGGCACTTCCAGGGTCATCCATTGTTGAAGGACAGCGATTTGATGCCGCTGCTTCTGGTCATTGAGACCTTGCGCCATAGCGAAGAGGCGCGGCTGTGTCACAGTCAAAATGGGTTCGTTTCCTGTGGGGGATAGGAATAATCAATCCATGTTCAATTTGGGATGTAACAACCCCTGATGTTTGGATGTTCAATACCGGATGACCATAAACAATATAGCATCATAATACAATATACCATGTTTTGACCATGGCACAAGTAGCAACCCCCAAAGATGTCGATGAGTTCGAAACCTTGAAATGATGTGCAAAACATCATTGAACTACCATCCTGGAAATACCTTTCTATCTTTTGAAGGGTTACTGTATTGTACATGATTATAATTTATCCCTTCCCCATATGTACCCCAACCGAAACCTTAGTTGTGGTGGCCCATATGAGGGGTATTCAACTTTGGGGAATGGGTGTGGTTTAATGTTATTAACAGTCAACAGTTGTTATATATCATGATTATCATATGTTTATGTTTAATTATGATTGTGACTTTATGATCCTGATGATGTTTTCAGTTACTGTATCATGATTATCATACGTGTTTAACTTATGAATAAATCATATATTAACATATATTCTGTAAATTATAAATCATATAGTCACAAGATAAGCATGACTAGCACGACGTATTCATCTTACATGTGGGAATCATTGTTTAAATTATACATTCATTATACACATGATTGTGATATTATTAAATTATGATCCCATTATCAATGATTATCACTGTGGTAAAATTTTCATAGATGGAATACCCGGTGAATAGCCATAATAAATCCTATGTATTATTGTGTTTTTGGGTATTTGATTTGACTATGGTAATAAATCCTATGTATAATGGTATTATTATGGGTATCCACCGGTATAAATCCATATGTGATTTGATGATTCTGTGTTTGGACTCATCGTTTCGACTCATCGTTTTCCCACATGGATGGCCAGGTCACCATCGGCGATGTGCGACCATACCTGCAGGCACAGCACCATCGTCGGTCGCGAAGAAACGCAGGAGAAAAAAAGCGACGTTACAGTTATGGCCATTTATTAGTTATAAGTACTTATAACCCCATTTATAGAATGTATAATCCCATTTATAACCAGTTATAACTGGTAAATGGCCATAACTGTAGTGGTCTTTGGATAAATGGATTAATGGATTCGTGGTCTTTATCTGACCAAATTTGGATGAATGGAACATCATGGAAACATGGAACATCTACATGAGTTTATGTTTTTCAGTGCAACATACAGGCTACATACAGGCTACATAGAGGTCTTGATTTTCAAACGCCAAATGCTGCGTTGGGGCTCTTTCTCCACTGTCACCTTCGGCATCAGGACTAAGGACTGATCCATTGAGTCTTGGGTTTGTTCGTTTCGGGGTCCCATAGAATTACCCGGCCTGGTAAACCTACAAAAAGCTATTGAAAATGGGTCGAAATAGTTGATTTACCCATTCAAAATGGTGATTTTCCATAGTTATGTAAATGTTTACCAGAGGGTAGCTGGGATTGCTTTAAATTTGGAATCGGTTCAACCCCAAACATCCTAGCACCTGGACTTGTTGCATGACAGCATGTTTCCCCTCATGGTTCCCCTTGTAGATTCAGACATGGACCCAAAATCATCCATAATGCAATTTCCAGGCAAATATAGCTGGTTGGTGGTTTGGAACATGTTTTATTTTCCATCATATATGGGATGTCATCCTTCCTATTGACGAACTCATGTTTTTTCAGAGGGGTAGGGCTTAACCACCAACCAGATTATTATGGATTATATACCCTCTGGTTATTTAACATAGCCATGGAAAATGGCCCATAGAAATAGATGGTTTACCTATTATATAATAGCATGGTGATTTTCCATGGCTATGTTAGTCATAACCAGATGGCATTCATCTTCCCAGTTCTTCCCTATTCCGTTTGAATCCCCATCTTTTCGCAGGCACAATACAAGCGCCTGGTCGATGCCCTTGCAACGTCCAGAGGGAAGTCCTCTCAGGCGCTGGGTTCAGTGTTTGGTACTTGGGGTTGTACTTGGGGCATCTTGGGGCTGCAGTTGAGGATAGAAATAAGTCTTTTCCCAAACTCCCCTGACACACCTAAGGGGGTGCCCGTCAGTTTTTGCCGAGTTCTCACGCCTCAAGGGAGGTTTCATTGGCTCGAAGACCTACACTGCACTACTTTGCGAATTTTCTCTCTCAGTATGATGCCATGGTTATAAAATGTTATAAACCCCCATCCGTATGTATACGTTAGGATACAACTCCTGTAACTATGATTACATATCCACTTATAACTGGAACTGCGCTCCCAAGTATCCCCTATCACTTGGGAATACTTGGTATACAATGGATTATAGCCCCTTCATTAAAGAGTAAACTTGCTCCATGGCTCATCTAAACAGTCAAGGATAGTAGTATCGCCTTGGTTTGGAGGCAGCAACATACCACGTGGTATCCTCCGGTTTTGTAATTTGGCAATGTCTAATCTGGCAATGGACCTTCAGCATGTTTGTTTAACAGAAAACACACGTATACAATATTATAGAATACGATCGTATGCTACACATGAATAAATTATCTATAAATTACTGTATGTATGTAGAATAGCATATATGTATTTAAATTATGTGATATGTATATATATATATATTGTATATATATGTATATTGTATATATATATATATTGTATATATATATATATTGTATATATATATATATATATGTTTATTGTGTATATATATATATGTGTTTATTGTGTATATATATATATGTTTATTGTGTATATATATACACATATATATATATGTTTATTGTATATATATATGTTTATTGTGTGTATATATATATGGTTATTGTGTATATGTATATATATATATGTGTGTTATTTTTTGTACACATTATGATATGTAACTATACAACTGAATATCAGCCACAGTTCCCAGTGATCTCGCTTGATCTCCAGGATCGTCATGAGATCGTCCGGATGCAGCAGGAAATTGTCCAGCTACGGACCGAGGCGCATCCGTGGGGTTCAAGGGACTTTTGCAAAAAAAAGGGGATAGTTTCACTTGATTATTATCTATTGTTATTTAGCATTATCATTCTATTTCCCCACCTGCCAGGTGAGGGTTGTTAGATTTTATGTCAGTTGCCTCCTCCTTCTCCTACTCCTCCGCCTCCTCCGCCTCCTCCTGCCTCGTCCTCCTCCTCCTCGTCCTCCTTGTCATCCTTGTCGTCCTTGTCGTCCTCGTCGTCCTCGTCGTCCTTGCTCAACTGCGATCCGCGATCCATAGTGTTCTCTGCCGGACCTCAACCACGACCACCCACGCCCAGTGTTCCCTGCCGGACCTCAACCACGACCATCCACGCCCAGTGTTCCCTGCCGGACCTCAACCACGACAATCCACGCCCAGTGTTCCCTGCCGGACCTCAACCACGACCATCCACGCCCAGTGTTCCCTGCCGGACCTCAACCACGACCATCCACGGGCCCAGTTGTCCTGCCGGACCCTCACGGAGTATCCACGCCAAGTGTTCCTGACGGACCTCATTGTCGGAAGATATGCTTCCCCACCTGCCAGGTGAGGGTTGTTAGATTTTATGTCAGTTGCCTCCTCCTTCTCCTACTCCTCCGCCTCCTCCGCCTCCTCCTGCCTCGTCCTCCTCCTCCTCGTCCTCCTTGTCATCCTTGTCGTCCTTGTCGTCCTCGTCGTCCTCGTCGTCCTTGCTCAACTGCGATCCGCGATCCATAGTGTTCTCTGCCGGACCTCAACCACGACCACCCACGCCCAGTGTTCCCTGCCGGACCTCAACCACGACCATCCACGCCCAGTGTTCCCTGCCGGACCTCAACCACGACCATACACGCCCAGTGTTCCCTGCCGGACCTCAACCACGACCATCCGCGCCCAGTGTTCCCTGCCGGACCTCAACCACGACCATCCACGCCCAGTGTTCCCTGCCGGACCTCAACCGCGAGTATCCACGCCAAGTGTTCCCTGCCGGACCTCATGTCGGAAGATATTGCAGAAGATATGTCAGAAATAGAATTGCAAGAAGATTTGCCAGATAGAATTGCCAGAAGCTATGCCAGAGACTATGGCAGAATATATGCCAGAAGATATGACAGATTAGAATGCAGATAATTATGCCAGAAGAGATGGCCAGATAGAATGCCAGACAGATAGATTTGCCAGATAGAATGCCAGAAAATATGCCGACAGAAGATATGCAGTTAGATATGCCAGAAGATATGACAGCGATATGCCAGACAGAAGATATGCCAGAAGATATGCCAGATAGAATGCCAGATAATATGCCAGAAGATATGCCAGATAGAATGCCAGATAGAATGCAGAAGATTTGCCAGATAGAATGCCAGAAAATATGCCAGAAGATATGCCAGATAGAATGCCAGATAGAATGCAGAAGATTTGCCAGATAGAATGCCAGAAAATATGCCAGAAGATATGCCAGATAGATATGTCAGAAGATATGCCAGAAGATATGCCAGAAGATATGCCAGAAGATCTGTCAGAATATATGCCAGAAGATATGCCAGATAGAATGCCAGAAGATATGTCAGATAGAGTGCCAGAAGATATGCCAGATAGAATGCCAGAAGATTTGCCAGATAGAATGCCAGAAGATATGCCAGATCATATGCCAGAAGATATGCCAGATAGAATGCCAAATAGAATGTCAGAAGATATGTCAGATGGAATGCCAGAAGATTTGCCAGCAAGAAAATGTATAAATGTCATGGTGGGGATCACACGAAGTAAAGTAATTTTTTTTGTATTATAAATTGTAAAAGCATATATATATTATATATATACACACGGAAATGGGGTTGAGACCGTCAGGTTTCCGCTTCGGTCCGATTCTCGGAAAACCGGTATTGCGGATTTCCCATGCTAAAAGGATGTTGCCATAGGCATCTTTACCGGCAGGGTGTAGGAAAAAAACAAAAAAATGTGCATCAGATCAATGGGATATTCCCTTACATAGGCCTTAATTATGTAGGCTTATATATGGTAGGTACCTCCAATTTAGGATCCTGGAATGGCCATTGATCAGACGGAAGGTATGTTTGCTGTATTTGTTGTTTTTTTGTTGTTGCCGACTGTTGATAAAAAACCACGGATATCCGGAGTTATGTCACCCATCATGGAACAATCAAATCCAGTTGGAGACAATATATATAATTACCAGTAGATTGAGGATCACCCCTTCTATGGAATTTATCCTGCTGATTTATGTTTTACCTCATTGATTCTTCCGTGGATAAAGATTGGGTTGTGATGTTTGTCAGAAAACAGATTACCCTCTGGTAAACGTTTACATAGCTATGGAAAATCCACCCATGTTTAATGGGAAAATCAACTATTTCGACTGGGCCATGTTCAATAGCTATTTTGACATAACCAGAGGGTACTCCAAGATCCATAGATCCATTGGAGAACAATCCTTTTCCATGATGTAAAGGAAACTCCCATGAATTCCCATGACATAAAGCCCATTACCATCTGGTAAACGTTTACATAACTGGGAAAATGTACTATAAATGGCCATGTTCAATAGTTTTTCGTATGTTTACCAGAGGGTAAATCCTGTGTTTTTTTCAGCACACCAAGTCCCCAAGTCCCTGAAAACCACACAGTTGTGGCCAGCACAGGCCAAGGAGTTCCAAACCACCCGATGCTTTCAGCGCCCTCGGTTTCGAAAAAATCGCCGCAGAATGTGGCCGAAAAAAAAAGTCATCCTGGGATAGAAGATGAGAAAACAACACTTAAATCCTCAGAAAAATGGTAATCGGTTCTTGACATGTTGATCTTCTTGATCTTCTTGATCTTCTATCTACTTCAGGATGGTTCTAGACACACCAAGTCTAAACTCAGGTATATTTAGGTCATTTAGGTTTGGTAATTGATTGCCACCTATTCATTGGCCAAAATGATGTTGTTCCCCCATAGCAGAGGGATGATAATCCCAAAGGTTCGCGTATGTTTTGGGTGTCCCATTTCCCAAGGCGCGTTCGGACCGCTAGGACTTGATGTTCGAATTGTTTTCTGAATTTCTGTGCAGATGTTTTTCACTGTTGAAGTCACAATTGGATGTGTTTGGTTCAACTTTGGAAGCGGAACGCATTTTCCAGCTCAATCGTTTGATCCTTGCCCTCGATTTCGCTGATTCAATTCCGCATCCCCGTGTGCCCCTGATTTTCCCATGAATTCCCGATGATAAGTGGTACTGTTTAATGTGCTGGTAAAATCCTCGTGACTCGTTTCTGGACTTAGATGCATTATATCTCCAATACTATCCTATTATATATATATTGATTTATTTATATATATATATAGATATAATATAAATATATATATATACATATCCATTAAATACCTTCATTATATTATATATACACATGTATATTTACATGCTAAGGTGCGGTTTGACCTTGGACGTTCCTGCGGTGCATTTTTTCTGTGGCCATTCGTGTGCAGCCTCAGAGTCCGATCGCCTTTGATCCCGTTACAAATTGGCGAACAGGCCATATACAACGACATACAACTGGAGATATTTAATGATATTCATACTATATATATATAGAGAGAGAGAGAGACGATTATAATAGACGTAATCACATTTTATATATACATGATATATACATGATATATCCTGCTGTTTTACAGGTTTTTGACGTCGTGGCCCCAGCTCAGTGTATCGTTGCTGCCGTCTCCACGTCAAGAACTTCAAGGTGCAGGGTAGGTTGCAATGGAACAGCCGTGGGCTGTGGCCCTGGCTTTTGCTGGGGGCTGGTTGCTTCGTGAGTGGAGCACTCCTCAGAAGGTTGAGGAACCTGCTTCGTGCCATTGCCAGTGCTCGTTCCCTGTTTCGCCTGCTCCTGAGCACGTCTCATCCTCATCATCATCCTGGTTGGTTGCATTGGTGGCTATTGTCCTATTGGTGGTTTTTGGAAACACTGCTTTGGCTCTTCGCATTTCATATCAAGATAGCACTACTGGGCAAGACAAGACTGTTTCAGTGGCTGTGAAAGGTAAGTCAAAGGGTGTATACAATAGCCCAGTAGGACTGACGGTGGCAAATTGAGATGGCAGCCTTAGCTCCTGGATCTCTGATGTTTGTCAGCTACGGAGAGGTGCCCGAGGTTTATCACACACGTCTCATTCTAGATTGGGTCAGTGGACTGGAGTACGTCATTGCCACCCCTGACCTTGACATTTATCCTGAGACTATGGATGCTTCAAACCCCGACTTCACCGATTGCGTGCCCGCACTACCAGGTGGGTTGGTGCCGCCTGGTATCAACCCCAACTCAGTCTACTCTTTTGCTCCCATGACCGCTGCTGAATTGTCTCAGTTGTTGGCTGCAGGTCGAACTGAAGCGGCATTGGAGAGGGCAAGACGAGGAGTGGCGGCTGGAGCAGCTCCAGCTCCCGGTGCAGCGGCCCCAGTCGTGAACGAGGTCTGGGTCTTGGCGATTTTTGTGAGGGCATGAAGCTGGGAGATCGGGTTAATCCTCCGGCTGGGCATCCTTCCATGGGCGAGTACGGGTTGATGACTATTGGTGTAGGTCAGGCGGGTCAGGTTGTTCTCATCAAGCGCATGAAGGAAGAGGATATTCCTAGTTTTTGTGAAGAAAGGGTTCAAGCCCTTCGTTCCATCGAAGCTTCAGCTGGAGAAGACAAAACCGTGGCAGATGATGTTCGCACTCTGGAGGTACGGTATGGTGCCAACGGAGAACGGTTGCGCACATTCAGGGAGAGCATCAAAGAATTTCAGCAGGTAGAGTTTTTGGATTTCCCATTAGCTCCACGTACTACGCTGGATTACTGCCGGGCGATAGCCGCTGTGAGTGAAAGTGCTGTGCCCCAACATCACATGTGGGTTGGAGCTTCGAGGATACAGGAGGGGGACCGTAGCATATATGAGGATGAAACATTGGCTAGAGTTTTGGATGCTGCTATCACTTACGACAGCTTGGATGTGAGTAATCTGTGCTGCCAGGGATGCCTTCATATCTTGCAGCTGATCATTACATGGGACAATCGTACCGTGCAGGCGGGGGCATTGTCACCCCGAGCCTTACTGATCACGTGTCAAAGCAACTGGCTGCGCAGACCGCCATCATGAAGGAGAAGAGGAAGATGGAAGAGGCCAAAGGTGGACAGAAAGGAAAGAAGTCAAATCCAAAGGCCACCCCTAAGGATGGGGGTGGCAGTGGACAGTAGTTTTTTCACCTGTGGCAGCGGACGGTGCAGTGAGCGTCAGCTGCTTGTGGCCTTCATCACTGCAAGGATGGTTGTGCATGGTCGGCCCAATCGTGTTTTTCATTCTCCAGTTCCTGACCATCGGACCCGTGATGTTGTTCCTCTACCGCAACTTGTTGTGGAGGAGCTCAGAGATAGGAGAGTGTGCAGGAGTGTGGCCAAGAGAATTCATCATAGAGCTGAGATAGCCAAGAGAACAAATCGGGTCATAGCTGCCTTGAATTCGCTTTTTTCGGGGAGGAGGGCTGGGACGGACGTTCCTACAGTGAGAGCTTTGGATGACCTGCCGTTGAATCAGCGGCTTGCCATTTCCGATATCTTAAAGAATGTCAAGAAGCTCGGTCATCCTCCTCTGCATTTACATGGCTCTGAAGCCCTCAAGGCGCTTCGAGCGGCCAGCTCCACCTATGGCTTTCAGGAAGCTGGCGTGGGTGACGTTGTTCCATTAGATCTTCACTATCTTTCGCTTCCAGAGGAACGGGTGGTGGGTGTGGATCTGGTGGATGCGTTGCCGGAGTCGCTGCAGAGTGTTGTGACAGATTTTGAAGATCATATGCTGCAACATGCTGATGTTTGGACGTCTTTTTCGTCTGACCTCGATTCATTGCGGCCGTATGATGATCCATCTTTGAAGAAGAGGAGTGTGTACCTTGATTTTGTGAGAGAAGTGTATAAACGGGGCATCATTCGTTTTTCTCAGAATTGTCGAGGCAGAGTAGGTGCTTTTACCGTGTCCAAGAAGCCTAAGGTCATTGACAATGTGGTCACCCCCCGACAGAGATTGGTTTTGGATTGTAGACTTGTGAATGCTATGTTTAGACCATCGCCGCACACAAACCTGGGATCACTCACAGCCTTGAGTGAGATGTATATCCCAGACGGTCAAAACCTATTCATCTCAGGTGCTGACATTAAAGACTGCTTCTATGCGGTGCGGGTTGATGATGCATTGAGTGATTTTTTCGGCTTGATGCAGGACATCACTGGGGATGAAGTATATCGGGCGACTGGTGGTGAGTGTGGTGAGATGTATTCGGATGACATGTTTACTCCTGCAGTCAGTGTGTTACCTATGGGGTTTAGTTGGTCTTTTTACCTAGTGCAGTGCATACACGAACATTCGGTGTGTCGTGCCCTGGACATCGGCCGAGAACAACTGGTTTTAGAAGGTTTTCCAGCTCCCCTTTTGAGTGGTGGCGAGTGTGTTGCAATGCCATACTGCGACAACGCCCACGTGCTGTCGTTCTGTGAGGACCTTTGCAATGCTGGTAGCCTTGCAGCTCAGAGCGATTTGACGTCGCTGGGCTTCACTACTCACGAGGAGGAGCAAGCAAATACCTTTTTCAAAACTTTGGGTGGCGTCGTTGACGGAGTGGCAGGGGAAGTGCGCACCACGCCGGAAAGGGTTTGGTTATTGATTTTTGCTTTCGAACACATTGCATATCACAAAGTACATCCTGATGTCGTTCAGCGTTTACTTGGTCATGCCATGGTAGTTTGTACAATCAACAGGTATGGCATGTGCATTTTTCGGCACTTATACGATTTCGTGGAGCAGGGGGGTTCGCAGCGTTTTCTCAATCTACAAGCTAGGAACGAGTGCTTAAATTTTCTTGGTATTATCCCAATGTTATTTGCATCTATGAGGAGACCCTGGTGTACCACAATTAATTGCACTGATGCCTCACCGATCGGATATGGAATTTGCCAATCTGAAGTTGATGGGGAGCGGGTCCAGAACATCGGACGCTGGCAGGAGAGATGGCGATACAAGCGCCTTCCGCCTGCTGAATGGGCGCCAAGGAGACGAGCGCTTGGGCTGGATGTTTTTGGGTCTGTTTCTACGGTGGTGGGATCTAGCAATTGTGATTTTGGGTTGGAACATGTTGTTGATAACGAGATTTTTCCGGAGGTACCTGTTGAAATTCTTCATCCGAAGCTTTGGAAAACAAAGAAGTTTGGTAGATGGGGCAATACTTCGGAGCATATTACTATCAAGGAGGGTAGGGCGCTTGTTCTTGCAGTACGTCGTTTGTGCAGAGCATCAAAGAACAGAGGGAAACGTCATTTGTTTTTGGTCGACAATCTTGGGCTGGTTTTAGCTATCAACAAGGGAAGGGCTCACAACGTTGCTTTGTTGCGTATTACTCAACAAGTCTCGGCTTTGGCTTTAGCAGGTGGTTTTTCGGTTAGGGTGAGATGGGTTCCTAGTGAGCTGAACGTGGCCGATGGCCCCTCACGTGGGCAAATCAAGCCGGGTTGTTTCAAGAAAGCAGCATGTGAGTCAGCCTTCAACAACAGCTATGAGGGTGTTGCCCCATACGGAGAGAAAAACAGTGACTGGCAAGCAAACTACCAGATGTTTGAGCAGAAGGGCTTTGAGTGCGGAAGCAAAAATGAGTCCACCGAGGACATCAAAGAAGAGAGTGCTTGCTGGGAAAGAGGAGAAGATAGCCGTTCCCATGAAGAAGCGAACCATTCAACGCCTACCCATCAGGGAAGAGGCCGACGTGGGGAAGCGTGCGAGACTGAGCAAGCTGACCTTGTTGGAGGAGAGGAGTGTCTCCAGCGAAGTTCAGCATCAATATGGTCAGCACTTGAAGAGGTTCGAGAAATTTCTGCCGGGAGGAAGGCACCAGCTGGCCACCAGACAGGTGCGACGAGTTTCTAGCCGACTTCCTCGACTTGGAGTTCATTCAAGGAAAGGCATCCAGCGAAGGAGAAAAGGTCGTAGCGGCAGTGGAGTACAAGTTCGCCGCGCTGCGTGGGAAACTGATTCGGAGTCGCAGAGCATTGAAGGGATGGAGGAAGGAGAGACCTTCGAGTTCCAGGCTGCCCCTGCCACGAATGGTGCTAAGACTTCTAAATTTATTTATTTTCACATCAGGCACTTAATGAAGTTATAAGTATATTATAAGTTGCTATTATCTTGCTAATATCTTGTTTAAATTGTTTTTTTTTTATTTTTTTGTTTTAAGTTCCACTAATCGTTTAGGTGAACTTGTAACATAATAATGAACATATAAGTAAATATAGTGGAATATTATTCAAAAATAAGTTGAAATAAGGGAAAAGAAGCGAAAATAAGTAAAAATATGTTTTTTGTCAGTTTTCAACATTGATGGACATGGAAACAATACACACCACTCAAAAAAAGATTGTAATAGAAATAAATGGAGAAAAGTAACTTACTGAGAAAATTTATAATGCTTAAACATACAGAAGGTAACAAATTTATTATTTTTAATGTATATACGTCAGAAAATTTTGAAAATGAGAAAATGTAGAAAATGAAGAAAATATTGAAAATGTTGAAAAGTCGGAAAAACAAAAAAATCAGAAAATTTAGAAAATTTTAAAAATTCAGAAGAGTCAGAAAATTAAAAAAATCTAAAATTCAGAAGATTCAGAAAATTCAGAAAATTTAGAAAAAAACAGAAAATTCAGAAAATTCAGAAATTTCAGAAAATTCAGAAAACGCAGAAAATTCACAAAATTCAGAAACCCAGAAAATTCAGAAAAGTCAGAAAATTCAGAAAATTCAGAAACCCGGAAAATTCAGAAAATTCAGACTTTACAATTTAAATTAAAAGGAAAACAATTCAGAAAATTCAGAAACCCAGAAAATTCAGAAAATTCAGAAAATTCAGGAAATTCAGGAAATTCAGGAAATTCAGAAAATTCAGAAAATTCAGAAAATTCAGAAATTTCAGGAAATTCAGAAAATTCAGAAAATTCTGAAAATTCTGAAAATTCTGAAAATTCTGAAAATTCAGAAAATTTGAAAATTCAGAAAATTCAGAAAATTCAGGAAATTCAGAAAATTCAGAAAATTCAGAAAATTCAGAAAATTCAGAAAATTCAGAAAATTCAGAAAATTCAGAAATTCAGAAAATTCAGACAATTAAAAAAAACAAAAAAAATATGAAAATTCTGAAAATCAGAAAATTCAAAAATTTCAGAAAATCCAGAGAATTTAGGAAATTTAGATAATTCGAAAAAAATCGCAATATTCAGAAATATATATATATATATACATAGATATATAAAATCGGAACCATGAAAATATCCAAACAAAAAACAGAAAACGCAACATTCTTATATTTTTTTAATTCAAAGATGTTTTACAAAACCCTATGACAGAAACATGTTTCGCCTTTTATCAATTTTAAACAGTAAAAAATAATGAAAAATTAACCTAAATTAAGTGAAAATAAGTGAAAATAAGTAAAAATGACTTCTATGATAAGTTAAGATAACTACTAATATTTTCATTAAGTGCCTGATGTGAAAATAAATAAATTTAGAAGTCT